ACAGGTATCCTTGTTCCTTTTTCCTTGCTCAACCTTGACAGTGGCCACGGATTTATTATGGCTCTCAATATGTCTTCTCTCCCAATAATGCTCCCTGCCGGTGAAGCTGTAGCCTACGCCGAACCATCTCAAGCCATTGAGGTTTTCGCATTTGATACTCCCTCTCCTGCATATTGTTGTACATTAGTTCCGCAGCGACATGACGAAGACGAGTTCTTGTTATCCACTGTAGATGGCCACCTCGATTCGTCTCAAAAAGACTCAATTCTGTCTGTTCTGCGTAGATTTAACACCATATTTGATCGCCCACAGTCTACTTTGGGCCGTTCCACGTCTGTAGTCCACCACATTGATACAGGCAACGAGAAACCCTTACGTCAATGTCCATACCGTGTCCTAGCGTCTGAACGAAGCATAATAGATGATGAAGTGAACGACATGCTAGACAAAGGTGTCATCACACCATCTATAAGTCCGTGGGCTTCCCCAGTGGTCCTCGTCAAGAAGAGAGATGGTAGCATAAGGTTCTGCGTTGACTACCGGCGGCTGAACAAGATCACGCGCAAAGACGTATATCCAATGCCCAGAATCGATGATGCCTTTGACAGCTTGCAGGGAGCCGACTATTTTTCTTCTCTAGACCTCCGTTCAGGCTACTGGCAAATCCCCATGGCCTCCAACGATCGAGACAAAACAGCCTTCATTACATCGGAAGGACTGCACGAGTTCAACGTTATGCCTTTCGGCCTATGCAACGCACCTGCGACGTTTGAACGTATGATGGATGCCGTGTTGCGGGGCCTGAAATGGAAAATATGTCTGTGTAATTTAGATGACGTAGTTATATTTTCGAAGACATTTGAGGAGCACCTCCATCGATTAACAACTGTATTGTCCTGTCTCAGCCACGCCGGCCTCCAGCTAAATATCAAGAAGTGTCGATTTGCGGCGAGGCAAATAAAAGTTCTGGGTCACCTCGTGTCCAAAGACGGCATTCAGCCAGATCCTGAGAAAATTGAGGCCGTTTCCAACATGCCAAAGCCAACCACGGAGAAAGAACTGCGAAGTTTTCTTGGACTCTGCTCCTATTTTCGACGCTTTGTGCGTGGCTTCGCATCCATAGCAGCACCCCTGCATGACCTTTTGAAGAAATCGTCCCACCTGCCTTCTTGGACATCTGAGTGTGAAGCTGCCTTCAATCAGCTCAAGGAAATTCTAACATCCGCCCCAATACTCCGACACTTCGACCCCACTGCTCTAACAGAACTCCGAACTGATGCCAGCGGCTTTGGAGTTGGAGCAGTTCTCGCTCAGACAAAAGCAGGTTTTGATAAGTATGTTGTCGCCTATGCAAGTAGGGCTCTCTCAAAACCCCCAAAAAATTACACCGTAACCGAAAAAGAATGCTTGGCAGTCGTGGGCAGTCACGAAGTTTCGCCCATACCTTTATAGTCGACGTTTCAATGTTGTGACCGATCATCATGCCCTTTGCTGGCTGTCGTCTTTAAAATATCTCACTGGACGTCTTGGTCGATGGATGCTGCACCTACAAGAATACGACTTCGCGGTTCTGTATAAATCTGGCCACAAACATGGCGACGCCGACGGTCTCTCGAGATGTCTCCTGCGCTCTGACGCACCCGATCCATCTGACACCGACGAAGACCCTCTCACCTTGTCGGCACTAAATATTGTCGACATGCAACTCGAACGAGCAAAAGATCCGTGGCTATCGAAAGTTCTGACAGTTGTGAGAGACCCTGACTTGTCCCAAAACCGGTCGCTACGAAGGCAGTCCCAACATTTCCACATTCGGAATGGGCTCCTTTACCTGCGCAACTATTCACCTGAAGGTCTCCATTGGCTTCTTGTTATCCCCCGTCACTTACGACGTGAGGTTTTAGAACATCTTCACAACGATCCAACATGTGCTCATGGAGGACTTCTCAAGACCTACACTAGGGCTCGTCTGCGGTACTACTGGCCAGGGCTTTATGGCAGCGTTCAAAAGTTTGTAAGATCATGTCCCGAATGCTAACGTCGCAAGTCGCCTTCCCATTCATCTCAAGGTCTGCTCCAGCCCATACCGTGCCCAGAACGACCATTCCAGCGCGTCGGGATAGATCTTTTTGGTCCCCTTCCGAATTCCTCCTCTGGAAACCGATGGACCATCGTCGCCATTGATCACCTCACCCGTTATGTCGAAACCGCTGCTTACCTTCGGCGACAGCAGAAAATGTCGCCAATTTTTTCTTAAACCAGATTGTTCTCCGTCATGGAGCTCCTTAGCTCCCAAAGAGCTCCTTAGCGACCGCGGAACTGTGTTCTTTTAAAAAATTCTAGAAGAGGTTTTACGTGCTTGCAGCGTTATTCATCGAACAACGTCACCATATCATCCGCAGACCAACGGCATGACTGAACGTTTCAACCGAACACTCGCTGATATGCTTGCCATGTATATATCCCCTGATCACCGAAATTGGGACAAGGTTCTTCCATTCATAACCTTTGCCTATAATACCGCCGTTCAAAACACCACCCAATTTTCCCCTTTTTTTTCTTCTTTATGGGAGGGAGGTCTCTTCAATACTCGACAGCCTGTTGCCCTATTCGCCGGAGGAGTCTGAATGCACACCACTCACCAAAATCCGAGAACATGCTGAGCAATGCCGACAGATAGCAAGGACACACACTGCCGACCTTCAAGGACAACAAAAACGCCGCCACGATGCCGGGTCCAACCCTCTTCCATTCAAACCGGGTGATCTTGTCCTGTTGTGGACACCGCAGCGCCATCCCGGTCTCTGTGAGAAATTGCTTTCAAACTACCACGGCCCCTACCGTGTGCTTTGCCAGACTTCAGAAGTCAACTATGAAATCGAGCCCCTTTCACCACCTACTGATCGCCGCCGATGTGGTCGTGAAATAGCTTATGTGAACCGCCTTAAACTCTACAGTCCGCCAATCTCTCGGCCCTAACATCACCCTCGCCGGGATGGCTACCTCTGCGAAGGGGATATATTGTGACGAAGAGAAGCGGCACGAGTCTTCGGGGACGCGCCGTCCTGGGAGAAGAGGAAGAGGAAGGGCAGAGTGAGCGAGCGGCAATATATACCGGAAGGTCATCTTGAGTTCTATCTCCAATACCCGTGTAAATAATAAACCCCCATCACTGAATCCGACCTCTGTTACAATATATATATATATATATATATACATATAATATATGTATATAATTTTTTTTTGTGTGCGGTTTTTTGGGCAGAGTGTTGCGGACTTCTAGGTCGATCACATAGCTGACATCAATTTTCCTTCAATGCGGAGTGTCTCGAAAAGGCTGATCGCTTTTAATATAAATACGATGAAACTGATAATGACAAAATGGCATCCCCTTTGAATGATGTCCTGAAGATTTCTTTGTACAAAAATAACCAAACAGCTTAAAACGTGCTATATTTTTTTCATTCGTGCTTGAGGTTACGATATACAATAAATGCCTGGATTGTGAGTCGGATGCGGTACCACATTTTGCGGATGCGGTTCTGACACGGATGCAAAGTATGCGGATGCGGATCGGATACGCATACAATAATGTAAAAAGTTTGTGGATGCGGTTCGGATGCGGATACAAAGTCTGCGATGCGGATCGGATGCGGATAATCAAACCGTTATCCACGCAGGGCTCTACACATGGGGTAAAACCGAGTAACCAAATAACCGGTTTGCCAAACCGGTTACTCATATTTGGAAATCCAAACAACCGGATGACTGGCTTCTGAAGCCGGATTCACTTCCCTTCAATTTAGCGGTATATCCGGTTTGGATATTTATATGTTTAGTTTGAAAAGCTTTATAAAAAAATTAGGCTAGCCATTGTTTTTATTACAGGTGGTGCAATCATATTTACGGCCCAAGGCTCGAAGATGACACCGACTTTCATATATATTATAGGTTGAGAAATTGGGCAAGCATAAGGCTTTTGCATGTTTTCATTGTCAAATTTTTCTTTTTTATTTACAGAAAAACTTTTTCTTTTTTATTTACAGAACATTTACCCATATGGAATTGAACTTAGTCAATATTGTTTGGGATACCTTTGCCAAGTGTTGCAATTATCAAATGAAACCTCAAAGATAGCATTAGTGTCCATTCAAAGCAAAAGCTTGCACTGCAAAATTCAGGTATCCTGGGTTTGTTGTGTACACTCACTCCTTTCTATCTGGATGAGCATCGTACTGACGTGTGGTTGTGTAATGACTACCGTGTAAGGTACATTAAAGACCCCAGGTTAGTCATCGTACTACACTGCCTAAATTTCTTGTGCCCAGTGGAGGCATCAGGTGCCCTTGAAGCAGGTTGACATACCGCTTTCGAACCATCCAAACAAAACACTTACTTTTTTTAAGGTAAGATACTACAGAAAAAAGTTACTTTCAAATCATCAAGTGGAGTTTGGAGTACCCTTGTGGTTATGAAGTACCTGTAAATGATAACCGTATTTTCGGGACTATAGTCCGCAGACTATACACATTTAAAAGTTGAAACTTCATGCAATGCGGATAATCTACAGCTGTGGACTACGGTTTGTAAAATATGGCGGCAAGAAAGTAATTGCTGGGCTCTGTTTAGTTCCCCTGGCAGGATCACCGTAGCATCATTTGAAAACTCAAGATTAGTTTCTCACACTGTGCCCATCTCAAGCGATGTTCGGTCGGTCTCAGCAGTCGTTTGCATTTGTTAGAAAGCGCATAATAAATTATGGCTAATTTTTATGTCAATAGGACAGCTTCTGACAATTTGGTTTCCATGAGATGTCACGCAACTTGGTTTCTAACTCGGGACGCAAACATAGTAAATTTGTTAAAAAAAAGTGAGGAATTCAAAACTCGAAAAAAATTGCTGCGCGAATTTCCTGCCGAGTTATTTGGAGCAAGAACACAAGTAGAAGAAAATAATGTGTTGGGTTGCTGTTGCATTTGAGAAAGGACTCCCCTTTACAGCTTAATGAGATCGCCCAGAGTGGTGCTGAAGAGGTTAGACTCGACAGCGTACGCTGCCGAGGCTAAACAGACCTCCCAACAAGGCGGGACACTCGACGATGAAAGGTATGGCTGAAACTGTAAAAGAAAATAGTATGTTGGGTTGCTGTGCATTTGAAAAACAACACTTCGTTGCAGCTTCCTGAGAACGCCCAGGCTGGCGCTGAAGAGGTTCGACTCGGCAGCGTACGGTGCTGAGACTAAGCAGACCTCCCGACAAGGTGGGGCACCTGATGTTGAAAGGTATGGCTTAAACTAGAATTGGGGAATGGCACTCTGGCCATTCCCCAATTTTCTCGTGAGTGCCGTCCTTTCGGTGCTTAGGTGCAGAGTGGGCGCAGTTGGCATTTGTTGTGACTCGAAAATGTGGTGCCAGAAAGCTCGGAAGACATTGTTTTGCTCTGTTGCAGTCTATTTTAACGAGCCTGGAGGACAAAAAAATGTTTTTTGCTATATCAGATAAAGCTTCGGGTAACCGGCAACAATGACTAAAATGGTGACTCCCTCGCCGGGTGGAGGAGGCAGCGGGTGATGTTTTTAGTTTTGAATGTCTCATGGAGCGAGCTGACGTCATCAGTTTGAAATGCGAAAATGGTACCTAGTTTCCTTCGGTTCCATTGGCTGGCGCGCGTTGACGGGGCTCCCATTGTCCACTGCGCTCGTCAGTTTCCACGACCGCTCACCCCATGGCGCTGCGTGTCCATCAGCTCACCGTTAACACGGAGCGTCCAAGGTCACCAGGGGAGCACGCGCGCTGGTGACGAAAAGTACTGTGGGTGTCCTATTGCCTATGCTTGATCGGACCGTGCTCCGCTCGCTCACCGAGAAACCAGACGACGACTGCTGCCATGAGAAGGAGTTTTATAAATACGGTTCTCTTCGTGGTCTGCCACTGGCTTGGCCTCCCCGGTTGTGGCGACCGCCACTGTGTTGCCGGTCTGCCTCGATGATGCAGGTCTGGCTCCGCGATGAAGGTTTGGGTTAGTGACTAAGCGATGATAAATTGTCTGCCCTCGAGCTCTGCTGGATTCGACTGCTGCCACCGGGGCCATCACGTTCCCCCTTTTTTCTCTTTTTTGTCCCTCGCGCCTCGCCGTGTGCCTCTCTTCTTCATCTTCCCCTACTGTATGCAGCAGACAAAGAAGGGAGCGGACGAGCGGCTTGCATGCTTTCGCATTCACAACTCTTAAGAAGTGCTTAGGTGTACCTCAACCTTTTTTTGCTTAATCCTTGGAAGTTTTTTCTGGCGGTCACCTTTGCGACCTGGTGATATAGTTACAGAAATGCATTGTCATGAAAGGGCGAAAGGGGGAATCAGGTTTTGTTTTTGGTTGTTTTTAGGCTAAATAATGCAAGCTACTGCCCGTTATAAAGGGTACAGCTCTTGGTATCTATCTTTGACTGAAGTGCCGTTGATCTGAAGGGAAGCGTATTTAGTGGTTCCATCGGAAACGAAGCTCTCTTGCAAAGGGAGGCAAGCGGATGCACTCTTCTCAATGTGCCGCACTATTGCAGCTTGCAGAGAACTCCTGTGGTGCTGCTGGAAAGGCTAGACTTGTCAGCTTACAGCCCCAAGCAAGACGCAGCTCCTGGCTCGGTTAGGTGTGTTTGTGTTGGCTATTTCTAGCGAAATTTTCCGCCATGCCTGTGGTCGCCGCACATTCGCTGCCGTAGTGCTCGCTTGCACATGCATCATTTGACGGACCTAAATTTTGGAGCGTATCAGAGTGATCGGCTTGCCAGGGTTTTATTCTGTTTTTTTTTTTGCATCTTGTGTATTTCTTTACATATCTCCGAAGTCTCGAAACCTTTCTGTTGCAAGTTTCTAAGTGTGTTAATTTTTTTTTATATTTGTGCTATTACAATGGGTTGAAAAACAATTTCTTTTATGTTGGAAGACTTTCTCTCACTTTAGCCCTTTTTCGACACGTGGCTTCCTTTGCTCTTTCAGCGTCGGCCATTATTGCAAATCTTGCAAACAGCATTTGAACAGACTCAAGACCGTGCAGCTTCCCGGCGACTTGGTAAGCTTAGTTTTGTGGCTCTGCTTTTGCATGATGCAGCCTGTTCCCTTGCTTCAAACTCTCTAGCCCGGTGTCCACAGTTGTGAATGTCACTAGACACTAGTTATCACAAGAAAGGAGGCAACTAATCACCGAGTAATTGCATCAGTATGGGCGCACATATGCAGTTTAGCGTACGGCAAAAGGCAATGAGCACCTTCTGGAGGCCAGGCGTTCGAAAGAGATGCCCGGCCCTTATCAGCTTGTCATCGACTATAGTTGCTCAAAGATGATAGGGTGCAAGAAATTGACAAGTTCAAGTTTTTGTTCTCGCCGTAATATCTTGAGCAAGTGCCCACCCGAAAGTTGGAGATAGCTGCGAAAAAAAAACGGAGGATGGGTGTTTGTTACGTTGATGAGTGGCGAATAGTGAGCTGTGATTGAAGATAATGGAGCGAGTCTCTTCTAGGTGAACGAAAAAGAGCTGTTGGCAAGGCCAGAGTTCCTTGCAGTCGGAGGGGAACAACCAGTCTGCAGAATGACCAGCTTCTGGTTAGTGTGTGTGACTTGTTTGACGGCGCAAGGGTGTCTCGGGGGGGGTTTGAGACTGGGCATTTTGCCGTTTCAGCATCTTTGACAAGCACCAGCACGCAGTTCCTCTCGACAGTAAAATGATCGAAAGGTGTCACCACGTGTTCGTGGTTGGCCGTGCAAAGCCAGTTGGCGACAACAGCATGGACACGGAAGGTAGGTTACCGCAAGCGTTATCTTGGGGATCGGTGGCCGAGTGGGTTAAAGCGCACACCCAGCTCGACGCGCGTGGAGCGAAAGCTCGCGCTGCAGAACCCAGGGATCCTGGGTTCGAGCCCCACCCCTGCCCGTTTCGATCTGGATGAGCATCGTACCGGCGTGCGGTCGTGTATCACTACTGCGTGGTGCACGTTAAAGACCCCAGGCTAGCGGTTGTACCGCACTGGCTAAATTGCTCATCTACAGCGTGTGACTCGTCGCAACTTTAATGGCTGACCAACTACACGCTGTATAAATATCCCCACAACCCCAATTATTATTAAGCGTTATCTTGGCGCTAGTAGTTGCTAATTCTTTCAGGTTTGTTACTACCTAACTGTGTTTTTTTCTTCAAGCATGCTTAAGCAGGGAAGTTTGGAGAAAATTTGTTTCTCTGAAACTAGCTTTTACATACCTCACAGACGTGGCTTTGAAATTTAAGCTATTTCGGAAGTTCTAAGCAAGCAGCAAATTGCCCGTGCATTGAGATGTGCACCCACAGATGATTTGTGAATGAAGCAATGAAATTGGCTGTAGGTCTGCTGCTCGGTTGGTGTGTCAAAGTCATGGGAGCGTTACTGTAACTTCTGTGACCCAGCAGAAGCAGGCATTTGGCTAGTTGGGAGTTTGAATATTGCATACTTGCTGCTCATATCACCAGATTGATTTGTGCCACATACAAGCATGTCACTTTTGCGGTGCAATAGCGTGTCGTCTCATAAAAGAGAGAAATTTCTGTGGGAAGGTAGAGCTTTGTCTTGTTAGCACGCCTCTGAAAAGTGTTTAACGATTCATAGAGAATTCACAACTCTTTGTTGTGTCGTCTGTTAGGCACTTCGGGGATGCAATCTATACTCTGTTTCACCGTAAGGGGGAGCAAAGGCAAAGGATAGAACATGAGTATGTTGTCTTGAAGAATGCATTCACTCCACAAGCACACATACGTAGCTGCCTTGCTCAAAGCGTTGCACTCGTCTTATAGATTGTCCTTTGTTCACACTTGTGGTGAAACAAAAGTATGGTAGACATATCTTAGGTGGAGTTAAAGTGTCAAAAGGAATTCACCCTTTAGACCAGGGGTTCTCAAACTGGGTTCTGGGAAACACAGGGGTTCCACGAGCTGGTCTCATGGGTTCCGCGAACACCCAAATTGCAACCACCCCCCTCTCCCCCCACGCCGCAGGCTGCGCGGAAGGACCATGCAAAGCGCCTTCATCTCACTTTGTACTGACATCGCGATTGATATGATGGGGATATATGGGAAGCAACACAAGCAAAATTGCCTACAATTGTGCATCTGTTGCTTCTCGGTCGTCAAATATGGAAGGGGGGGGGGGGAGGGTTTCGCGGCAGTCTTTGAGGCTTCCTGGGGTTCCGTGAGACCAAAAAGTTTGAGAACCCCTGCTTTAGACTTTTAAAATAGGGTACATTTTTGGCGAAAGTAACTTCCGTAATGCAAAAACATTACGGAAAGGATGTCATCAGGTCACGTGACTAGTGACATCCTTAGTGTGCAGCCTATGACATCGTTAGTCATCGCTTGACTGTATGACATTATTTCTGTGTAACCGTCACAACAGGGCTCCCGTGTGGCTGGCACATGACTCCTATTGACTGGCATAAGCACTTGTGTGACCATAACAGCAGCGAATGGCGTTCCGTCATAAGTCGTGGTATGAGCCTTTGTAGCTATAAATGATTTCATCAATATTTACCTACCCAAGGACATATTTTATTTACAACAATTTCAGGGTTCTCCCCACAGTGGGTGGCACCGGTTTTTCCACCCACCAGTCTGGCTGACTGGTCATCTATACTATCATAAAATATTGAGCATCTACCTTTTCCACAATAAGCAACCACCCCCCCCAATTTTGTAACATTTGGAAAATACACAAAGGACATATCGTTACATATTGTTGATATAAGAAGCGCCAATCCTCCAGTTTTACATGATTATCTCCAAATCTTGAGTGGGTGCTTGCTCAGGGTTTTACGGTATGTCCAGCCCACCTCTCTATTCTACCTCCGCCGGACAAGACTGCTGATTTTGAAAATGCAGGATGCCCCAGGTTGTCGTGTTTGGCAGGCTTGTGTGGCACTACGTAACAGAACTGCATAATCTCTGCAAACAAAATCGCTGCTGCGTGGTAGAGAAAGTGCCGTGAACACAAAAAGTTCCTGCAATCCTTTTCCTAACAAAAAACTGTCAGATGTCCACATCTCAAATCTCAAGAATGTCTGGGGAGAACCCTGGACGATTCCGTCAGGCATGACCGAAGTACTGCTAGAAACTTTTTTGTCGGAAAGTGATGATGTTCCTATGACGAGGCATGGCTCCTCGCTGTCTTTTTGTACAGTTTTGTTAGAGCTATGCCAGCGTGCTCATCGGCAGGAGAAACTAAAACCTGACTCACTTTGATGCTGCTGTTGGTGTAGCAAGAAAGGGACTTTATGTAAAACATGTGTGCTGTTAAGGCCCATTCACAGAGTAGCTTTCGACTATGTTACGTTTCACTACAGTCGCGAGTCGCCCTCGTACACGTGTTTTGTACGCCACGTGCAAAGCTACCGTTTGGGTTGGTAGCCACGCTTCATATAAAGCATGGGTGTCCCAGTGACTCTTGGTCATAACTCGATGTAAGCCCTCAGAATTTAGTTAACATAGACAAAAGTCACTGTGTGAATGGGCCGGTAGTTGAATTGTAGTAGTGGTGTTCTGGTGCCTACTAAGTGATGCCTGCTGGTTTGCTTTCTGTCCAGGTGTGATGTGTTTGGCAGGACCTCTGTACTCCTGGTGGCTCACTGGTTTCGGGAAAGGGGAGCAGCCTCTCATTGGTCTCAGCTCCGGTGAGCAATCATACCCACCATGCCAGTTACCTTTAGACAGAAAATGTCCTAAAAAAAAAAAAAAAAAACAGATTTAGAAATGTTCTGTAAACAAACCTGCTTGGTGAGTGTAAAAAAAAAAAAAGAAAAAAAGCTTACCATGTGTTTACACCCCACAGGTGGTGAACTACGTAACCCAGAAACTGGGCGTTATGCTGACATCAGCATTGGTGATCAAGCAGTATAACTGTTCACCACTTCCGGCGTCGGTGGTAGAACAAAACATACCGTAGTCGAAGTAAACGAAAAGCCTTTTCCGGAAATTTTTTTTTGGACAACAATATCTGTTATTGGCAGCAAGTGTCACTCTCTGTATTTTTTATTTGTGTTCACTAGATCGCCCCAGGAGCAGTGGCGTAACTAGATATGATGGCGCCCATGGCAAATGAAATTTCGCGCCCCTCATGATGATAGTGATAATGATGTCATCATCATTATATTATTATTATGGGTGGACTCGGCGCCCCCTCCCAAGTGGCGCGCGGGGCACCTGTACCCCCCATATCACAAAATGTTTTGTAAGAAAAGTAAGAAACTTATACATGCGCAATCGTGCTGACAAAGACCAGGAAGCATGGAATGTGGCCGACACAAACCACACTCCGTGTACGTGTGATTTGTGCTAATTTTGTACCGTTTTTTTTTGCATGTATATTTTTTTTTTTCATTTTCATTTTATTGATTATATTTTTTGTTTATATATTTTTATTTTATAATTTTATTTGTTTTCATTAATTAATTATTTTTTTATTTGTTTATTATTGTTTATATTTTTATATATTTTATTTGTTAGTGTTTATTATATATATATATATATATATATATATATTGGGAATGAGTGAAGATTGACAAGTGCAGCCGTAGTAATATTGTGAACGAAGAGGGGAGAAGGTGATTATTGAATTTATTGCATTAAAGTTAGGGAAAGGGAAAGGGAAAGAGAGCTGGCAAAAAATTGGGCCAGGAGCGGAGACTGAACCAGCAACCTTTCTGTTAGTTTCACCCGAAACCTGCCACTCCCGCCGGCACGTTTGCATTCAAATATAATCATTGACCCTTCCAGACCAGCAGTGCTAGTGTCTCAGTGAATATAGTGCCACTGCACCGTCCCTGGTTTGAGCCCCGATTCTCAAGCTAAAATTTGTTGGTATAATTCTGATGGGAAAATTTACTCTTTCAACATGACAAAATTCGAGCCTTGTGGATTCAGGCCACTTGTGTTTTGTTCATTTCTGTCTGGTGGCTTCAAGAGTGTGTTATACACTTTCTATAAATAATTTCAAAAAGTGTATAAAACTTTTTTGTTTTAATAAAATAAATTAAAGAATCTTTTTGAATCTATAAAGTGAAAAGTTGCCCTTTTGAGAAAACCAGGCATGGAAAAGACCGACTAGATTTTGTCCAGTGAGTTAGTACTCACTGGACAAAATCTAGTCGGTCTTTCCCATGCCTGCCCAGTGGTCAGCGTCTGTCATGGACTTGCAGTCAGTGAAATCTCATCGCCACCAGTGCCTGCCCAGTTTTTGCCTGGCTGGGGTGGGATAGCCCGCTCTAGACCAAGCCAGTTATTCCCAGCATCTTGACGTTACAACACTAGCAACATGGGCCTCCCGCATTCGCACACAGCAACTGCTAAAACTCAAGGTGCTATGTTTTGTTATCGTATCGTCATTGTGAAAATTGTAATGAAAAAAGCTGCATCCTAACGACATGTTCTTATATCTTGAAGTGACATTGAGAATACTAACTAATCACTCTGAAATCACTTAGTTGCAAAATCAGTTCGCTTGAAACCAGAACCAAGGCGGGTCACAAACCAGAACCACCACATGGGGATCACATGAAAATATTGCGTCTCTGATTGGCTGCTGCCGCCGCTTCGATCGTCTCCGAGTTGTTGGAGTTGCTCGCCGGTTTCAAGCCGGACCTGATTTGAGCTGTTCGTGTTGCAGTGCAAAGATCTAGGGAACAGCGTGCCAGCAACCTCGAAATTGCTGGGAAAATTGCCCGTCTGAAGTGGACCTAAGGTCTATGTAACCAGCCGCGATCAAGCGGTAACAACATCAGTTTCTTGAAATGTGGTATCTTTTTCTTGCCAATTTTCTCACTCAGATCATGCGGACTACTACCTGGGAGAGGAAGCCCCGTCCTACACTAGCCTGATACGGCCCCTGCGTCGGAAGATGTGCATCACCAAGGTGGTTGTGGAGGCGGTCGCAAACAACCCCAGCTGTAACTACGAGGAACTAGTCAGCATCGTTCAGGTATAGTACAACTTGCCTCACCACGGCTTTGACCTTTCAGGGAGAAATGGTGCAAGGATGGAAGGATTGAACTTTGTGTGGTTCTTTCACCTTTTCAGTGCCAACCATCTATTTGGCACCATTATTACCTTGGCACATGTGCCAGAATAACAAAATACCCGTATTTGCTCGCACAATGAACGCACTCGCGTAATGAACGCACCCCCCAAGTCGGCTCTCAAAATTTCGCCTTTTTTTTCACTCGTGTAATAAACGCACCCCCAACTTGGACGTCAAAATTTTGACCCCCTCCCCCCACGCGCGCGAAATGAACGCACTTTTCTATCCTGGTGCAGCGAGGTCGCGAATGCATGGGCAGCGTGGGCGAACAAAACGCCTTGCAAAAGGCGTTTAAAAAATTCGCAAAGATCTAACGGAAGCAACAAAAAAAAATGAAAAGGAGCTTTTTTTAATTTTTTTTTTTTGCGCGCCGCTGGGCGCAAGGAGGTAAGAAAGAGAAGCGGAGAAGCGCTCTAAGCGAACGAAACAGCTTGCGAAAAGCCGCAAGAAAAAAAAAAAAAAAATTACGGAACTAAGAGAAAACAAAAACAAAGAGAAGCTTTTTTTTTTATTCTTCTTTTTTCTTTTTTCACAACGCAGTTTGGTTTCGGAGGGTCGCGCGCCGCGCGCAAGGAGGTAAGAAAGAGGAGCGGAGAAGCCCTGTAAGCAAACGAAACAGCTTGTAAAAGGTGGCAAAAAAAAAAAAAAAAAAAAAAAAAAAAAAACTTACGGAATTGAGAAAAAAAAACAAAAAGGGAGCTTTTTTTCTTTTCTTTTTTTTTTTTTTTTGCACAGCGCAGTTTGGTTACGGGGGTCGTGCGTCGCGCGCAAGGAGGTAAGAAAGATAAGCGGAGAGCCCTGGCCTAAGCAACGCCTGAGCAAACAAAACAGCTTGCCAAAGGCGTCAAAAAAAAAAAAAAGAGAAGCTTTTTTTTTTTTTTTGCACAGCTTAGTTTGGTTACGGGGTCGGGCGCCCCGCGCAAAGAGATAAGAAGTTACTTGATTTTTCAGGATAAAAGGTCGGTTCATTATGTTCATTATGCAGTAAATAGGAATAGGACCCAACATTTTACTTCGCCTAATGAACGCCCCCCCCCCCCCCCCCCCCCCCCCCACTTTGCGTCGATTTTTGGGAAAAAAAAGTGCATTCATCTGCGAGTAAATACGGTATATACTTTCACATGTAGCAGATTTGTGACATTTCCCACTCAGAGAGAGGTACAGGTGGGTGGATTTAAGCTTGGGATTTCATACATTCATGGCGTCTGCACAGCACGACGAGGTTCTTTCGAACTGGCTCTCGACTTTGCTACCTTCACCTTACCTTTTTGATCAGAGTAGTCAGCCAGAACCTGCACTTAGGTTAATCCCTCCGCCTTTCCTTTAATAAACCTCTCTCTCTCTTTCTTTTTCTTACCTTCGTGGAGAGTGCTGGCTTTCATCTGTGCATGGGTGTCCATATTTACACAATTCTAGGTCAGCCCATTTTTTATATTAGAAAACCAGAACCAAGGGTGAGGGGTGGGAAGGTGGAATTGTAATCGGAACACCCCTGAGCAAAGCTAAAAAAACTGAGCTGCCTGAGGCATTCTGGTTTGTTTACTGTTCCTACGTTTGGCCATTCTGCACTTGTTTTTGCGAGACTTCTTTTTTTAGTTTTGCTAGTTAACTTTGCCTGGTAGGCCAAGTTGGGACTAGAAAATGCGAAAAAGTGCAGTCGAGCCATTTTGTGAGCAGAGTAATGCCACTCGCTCTTCCCATCTGAATTTACACCTCTGGAAACCAGAAAAGAGCTTTGATCACTGTGTTCATAAGCTGAAAAGTTTTGTTTTTATGAGGTGAGATGAGGTAAATTCAGAAATGCAGCTTTCTCCTTTTCTTTCCCCTGGCATACATTGGTTGGGGTGGAGGGGGTCAATAAAAAGTCGAAATCGACTTACAATCATGTAGTTAATGTGGCATTTAGGTAAAATGAAAATTCCTGGAAATATTTTCTTTAAAAGCAGATCTGGCTCTATTGGGCAGATTATTTTCCATCTGCTTAACTGCAATAACTTAATAACTTTGGGTTCAGATTTTTCTGAAAGTTCCTAGCTTGAATGAGCCCTTTCATGTAGTACCAGAGAAGAGTCAATAACCCTTAAAAGACACTTTACTTTTCTTCCCGCTTTATTTTACAGCGATAGCTGTTATGGGCTGTTCTTACCAATAGAAATGATGTTCGTTGCTGATGCTACAGTAGTTGTTGATGTAGTAGTAGCAGTTGTTGATGTTGTAGTTGGCGATGTAGGACGTTTGTCGTCGATGTTGCAAAATCCTTAAAAGAAGGTCGCCCGCCGCCACCCGCAGGAATCGAACCTTGGTCTGCTGCGTGCGAAACGGAGACGTTACCTGATGGATGGTAATGGCTACAGTAAAAGCTCGTTAATTCGAACTTCAATAATTCGAATTTATGAATAATTTGAACTGTACGACTTAGTCCAGCCAAGCTCCATAGAAGTCTATGTATAAAAATGCCCGTTAATTCGAACGCGAGTAGGTTCCGCCACGGATAATTCAAACTACGCGCCACCATGCTGACGGCTTCGCGCCTGGCACACAGCCAGAGAAACGCACCCGCTCCCTACACACGAGGTTGCGTCGCCTCCGAAACGGAGAGAACGGCGAGAGAAGGATTGGCGCGGAGGCGGCCAGAAGGCAGCGGCGGCTGCCTCCTCTCCGTTCTACGTGCATGTGACCTCCGAGACTCCTTGCCTGCGCCAACCCGCCAATCAAAAAAAAAAAATGAAAAATCTGATGTGCATTAACAATTAGCTTTCTCCTCCCTCTCCCATCCCCTCTTTTTTGCGACACTTACACACATACACACACGCACGTCTGTCTCGGCAGTCTCCGTCGGGTGTGCTTGTTTGTTTTCAGCTTTGGGGGTACCGGCCGTCGCGATTCCTTGTGGTGTTGTTAAGCCTAGGCTAAAGTTTGTTTCGGCGGAGATTAGTGGTGTGGCGCCAGACCCAGAGCTGCGACTTGAAGATGGCGTGTGCCCGCGGCAAATACTGTGCCAAAACACTGCAAGAGTGACATCCTGCGGGAAGTGGACTCCAGACTCTTGTCTAAGCAAGAAATTGCGAAGAAGCATGCAATACCGAAAAGCACGCTATCTACTTACATAAAGAATAAGAAGGCTATTAAAGATGCCTTGGCGGCAGAAGTTGCCAACGAAAAAAAAGAGGATGCGGCCCGCAAAGTATCCCGACCTCGTGAAAGCGCTTCTGCTTTGGATTAAGGACGTGCGTGCTCAGGATATTCCACTGAGCGGCCCCGTCATGCTGGCGAGGCAGCGGACTTCGCCCAGCAGCTGGGTTACGACGACTTTGCTGCTTCAGATGGGTGGCTGCCCCGATTTCACGAGCGTTACGACTTTGTTTTCCGTGCTGTGTCGGGAGAAGGAAAGGCCTTTACTTCACTTTCGTTTGTTCAAACTTTCGTCTATTCGAACTGAGGCGGCTTCCTCTTGAGGTTCGAATTGATGAGCTTTTACTGTATACCCTTTGTAACGGGCGGCAGCTTGCGCCACCTAGCCTAACACTACTGAGCTATGCCACGGGGTTTGTAACCCGCTCTATGCTTTTGGCTTTTGTAGTGCCCAATGCCCAGTGCACGCGCTCTCTGGAAAAAAACAATAGCCAATAACAAACTGCCGTTATAGCACTGTCAATGCCAAGAGTTTGTGCCGGGAAACGTGCTTCCACGCCCTCTAGAACAAAAAAGAAACAAAAACAAAATAAAATGTGAAAGACGTTTACAAATCTCTGTAATGCGAAATTAGAGTGCAGCATTTGAGGAGGAGGAGGGGAGGGTGTACCCCTCCTCCTCCTCCATACCCTCTCCTCTTCCTCTGCTCCTCACACTCCTTCCCTCCTCCCTTCCTCCTCTTTCTTCCTCCTCCTCTCTTTTCTCCTCCTCCTCCTCTCCTTTATACCTTCCCCTCTTCCTCTGTACCCTCCCCTTCTCCTCCTGCATACCCTCCCATCCGCCTCCTCCATACCCTCCCTTCCTCCTCCTTCATACCCTCTCCACCTCCCACAGTTTGCCCCGCTAAATTTAGCGGGAAATTGAATTGTCGTTGAGGTCACGTGACCGTCAATTTTCCTGGTAAACCTAGCAAAGAAACTGAATTTGTTTCTTAGGTGACATGACCCCAAGTCATGTGATGTCATTTTCCCAGCTAAATTTAGCAAAGAAACTGAATTTGTGTTGAGGTCACGTGATGTCAATTTTCCGTCTAAATTTAGCGGGGAATAGAATTGCTGTTGAGTCACGTGACGTCAATTTTCTTGCTAAATCTAGTGGAGAAACTGAGTTTGTTCATAGGTGACATGACACCAAGTCATATGACGTCATTTTCCCCGCTAAATTTAGCGCGGTTACGCCACCGCCAACGCCGCGAAACCCTGAAACGGGCGCCTAAGAGCTACGCTCTAAAAGAAACAAAAGCATCGCGTTCATGTGCCCCACAATTCATGAATGCGAAGTCGATGCCCAACGACTTTACCGTGACATGTTGCAGCTGTCACCGTGACTGTACCGTGAATTAACACAGAATTGCTACACTTTTTTTAGTCAAAGTGCATCACCAGCGAATTCATAGAAAGCATGGTTATTGAATTCATTATATGAATTAGGGGAAAGCAGGTGCTTTCATTTACAGTCTCTCTTTTTTCTCCTTCTTGTACAGTGCCATCTCTTTGTGGTGCTTGCAGTCGTATCGTTTTGCTCCGCCGTTGATTATCGTTGATTGTCGTTGGCTCCCTTCTAACCAAAGGGTGCCAGCGTGTGGGGAGAGGGCGGCTTCACGGAGGAGGAGCTTCGCCACGAGGCTCGCTTCGTGTTGAGCCAAGTCTGCAGCTACGATTCCGCCCGGGATCACGGAGACGAAGAGACGGTGCTGTCGGCACCCTGCCTGCAGAGTCTGGTCAACCTGCGACGTATGGCCGTCATCCGGTGAGTCCCGCGTTGCGTGCAGGTTGCCCATACTCTCCGGGTCACTCCTACGCTAGCTTCCACCCGTCCTGGTCACCGACACGACGAGAACGGTGGGACATTTTTTTTTGGGTGCTCGGCCCGCAGCACGTGCTTGTTGATTTTGCCCTCCTTCACCCTCGCGTGCACACTCTAGGCTCACGAGATGATGCCAAGTTGCCATAGAAATTAAGACGCTCATGCTGGCTTTGCGACCCCCCAGTTTGCTCCCTGCCATACTCGTCCCATCGGCGGCCATAGTATTTGCGACTCCAGCAAGACGAACAACGTCTGGCGGGAACATGTCGAACTGGACGGAACGGGCCCTTTCGCAATTTCTGCTCGTCATTTGTGACCTACGTTGTCAGTGGTCGGTGCGATGGAACGGTCGTCCCAGTGACTCTGTCATTGCTGTCGTATCAGCGTGTTGCCCAGGTTAGCTCTGAACGCAACCTATGCAATTGCGTGAACCAGACGTTTCTTCGTCAGCACCGTAGAAGGAGAGTAGGCTGTCCTTCCATTGTTTCCCCTAAGGTCAAGCCTCTGGAAACTCGCTTGCGCCAACACATCAATGCAGGTTTAAAACGTAGCGAGCGAGTAGGAATTGGGGCAAACCATTTTGAGTCCAATGCTTGCCTGTTAAAACCCGAGCGTCGTGCGTCGAAATGGCACGTGGCACGGCACGACCTGTTTTAGGCTTTCATATTTGCCTGATAGTTGCGTCCCTCGTACCGTATTTACTCATTTACTCGCACAATGAACGCACCCGCGTAATGAACGCACTCCCCAAGTCGGCTCTCAAAATTTCGAATTCTTGTTTTTCCACTCGCGTATTAAACGCACCCCCAACTCGGAGGTCAAAATTTTGACCCCCCCCCCCCCCCCCCCCGCGTGAAATGAACGCACTTTTCTATCCTGGTGCAGTGAGGTCGCGAATGCACAGGCAGCGTGGGCGAACAAAACGCCTTGCAAAAGGCGTTAAAAAAGATTTAAAAAAGGTACAACGGAAGCAAGAAAAAAAAACATGGAGAGGGGCCTTTTTCTTTTTGCACAGCGCAGTCTGGACTTTGGGTTCGCGCGCGGCTTGCAAGGAGATAAGAAAGATAAGCGGAGAAGCCCTTGCCTAAGCAACGCCTAAGCAATCGAAGCAGCTTGCGAAAGGCAGCAAAAAAAAAAAAAAAAAAAAAAAGAACCACCCAACTAAAAAAAAAAAAATAAAAAAAAACTAAGAGGAGCTTTTTTTCCTTCTTTTTTTTTTGCACAGCGCAGTTTGGTTAGGGGTTCGCGCGCGCCGCGCGCAAGTAGATAAGAAAGATAAGCGGAGAAGCCCTGGCCTAAGCAAACGAAACAACTTGCAAAAGGCGGCAAAAAAAACAAAACCACCCACAGAATTAAGAGGAAAAAAAAAATAAAATAAAGAGGAGGTTTTTTTTTTTCTTTTTTTGCACAGCCCCGTTTGGTTACCGGGTTGGGTGCAAAGAGATAAGAAGTTAAGTCGATTTTTCAGGATAAAAGGTCCCTTCATTATGGGAGTAAATACGGACACAAAAATTTTACTTAACGTAATGACCCCCCCCCCCCCCCAACTTTGCATTGATTTGTTGGAAAAAAAGTGTGTTCATTCTGCGAGCAAATACGGTAGGTCGCTGGAGTCGCGAATTAATGGAGCTTACCGGAAATGCATTTTCTGAAACTTGTGCCTACTGCCGAGCTATCGAAATCAACTTTGTTGTCTTGTGGTGGCTCTTTTTAGGGCTGGTTACCCTTGTGCTAGGCTTTCGTGTACCCCTGTTTTACGCTTTATTTCTTAAATTTTGTCACGTGCCAGCTTATGATACTTCCTCTCCCCTCCGAGCAGACTCCACATACCGCAACATGAGTACATAGTTGTAACAACATATCCAAGCTGCTTTGCTAGCACTGGAGCATCCGATTATGGAGTGACAGGTCCGGAGTTCGGCTACTGACAAGGAACAAAGCATTGTTTTTAAAGACACTTGGTCGTGTTACAATGTTTTTTCTGCAACATTTCGTGATGCTCTATAGTCGGTTACAGGTTAAGAAGGTAGCGGCAAATGCCCCTCAAAGGGAATCATATATCCCTCCGCCACCTCCGCATCCAATAGCGTCCCACCGTTTCCGTGACGTCGCGGCCAACGCGCGAGGATGGTCTTGCCTTTTGTACATATTTGCTTTATCTTTCGACTTTGACTTAGCATTGGGGAAGCCACGAGAGGGAGATTAGAGTTTTCCCCCTCCGATCGAAACAAATACGACTTTCGGGGATTAGCTTCCCCCCCGATGGATACAAAGGCTGCTTTCTGGGGCTCGGTTCCCCCTCGAATGAATACAAAGGTCGCTTTCTTAAAAAGTGGGATCGGAGACAAGTTGGAATTCATTGAAGCGGAACAAGGAGCGTTTCCAGTGAAATCTTCTTTCGACTGCGGAGAGATTTGAAACGGGCACATCACGCTTGTGGGAGGAGCTTCTCCTACCTTCTTGACTTGCAACCGACTATAGTCTTGGAAACTAGCTGATTTAATAATTTTCTTTATCTGTGCTTATTATAATGGACTCAACTGCACTAAATTTCAGCTGCTGGTATGCATAGGTTCTTCGTAACCTTCTTGGCATCCTCCAGAAACCTGCTCGGTTTATTAATTGCTGTAGTGTTCTTTTTCCGTTTCTTTTCAGCATGAATCAGAGTGAGGACCTGCATGGCTACCGCAAGCCCAAGGACACTCTGGCCACTTCTACTCCGGTGGTGCATAGAGTGCTGAGCCCGGCATTCAAGGACCAGATGGCGAGTTTGTCCTCAGCCAAAACGGTGAAGCAGGATGACAGAATGGCCACCTGCAACTCCTGTCTCGCTTGGAAGCAGGTCTGTGCGTCGAGCATCTGCCCGGTGACCCAAGTTGTAGGGAAAGGATAAAGGCGACCGTAAAATACCAAGCAAGCAAACATCCAACATTTGGAGGTGATCTTGAAAAACTTTGGGTTAGGCACTTGTTAGGTCAAAGAGCAAATGTACAGAAGGGGCACAAGGTGGGGTAGGCTTTAAAGCTTCACCACTTTGCATTGGTGTGCAGGTGTTAAGCTTCACGACTTTGCATCGGTGCATGCATGTCAAGCTTAACTGCTTTGCATCACTGCACACACGTCAAGCTTTGCTACTTTGCATCTGCACACAAGTTTAAGTTTTACTGCTTTGTACCGGTGTGCATGCGTCAAGCTTCACTTTTTTGCGCCGGTACACTCAAAGCATTGGCTTACTCAAGGGAACATGTTTGTTAGCTAGGTCAGCTTAGAAGCCTAAGGTGGGTGCCTGATATGTTTATTGCCTAAACATTTTAGAAGTAGCAGGTTGGAGCTTATTGTGACATGGATGCATCCTTGGTATTTTACAGTAAGTAGAATTGCCTACTGAAGCAACTTGTGTGAAACTTGAAGAAGCCTTCCTTTGATACCTACACTAGGTAGAAATGTTGCTTTGGGTAAAGTCACTACAATCCTTTCTTCTAGGTGGGTGTTGAGGTTTCAAAAAAAACCTGTGGGAGAGTCGGCAATGCTACGACTTTTCAGAGACGTGTAGGTATCATTTTACCTCTATCACTTTGCCTTCTATTGTGTTTGTGTCCTGTTGTACAGAAGGACGAAAAGGATTTAATATTTTTTTTCTGCAGTTAAATGTGTGAGGTCAAGAACACCCTTTTCACCCCCTGTGCACTACAAAGCTAGGCACAATATGGAATTATTGAATTTTAAGCACTCTTTGTACACCTCTAGTAGTCACCGACCGATTTTTCAGACTTTTCAGGGATCGAAAGAACATCCGAATAATAGTACAAAAAATCAGCAGATTAAAAACTTGCCTTTATTTCGTCTATGTAGGCTTCAGGTTACGTCTGTGCACCTTTTTGCTGGTTACGCCTCTGTTTCCGTTTGGCAACTTTCCATTAGCTTGAGAATTGCTGCCTTCTTTTTTCACGTTATGGTTGAGTACTTCCTGCGCTTCTTAGCACACATTGTAGTGGCGGAAGAACAGATGGGGCAATGACGTGCAAGCCAGCATAGTCCAAAAACATGATTCACCGGGACGAGATCGAGATGAGAGGCGCAAGTCTACGACTGTAATGAGAAATGAACAAATCAAAATAATAACAACAATGATGATGACAATGATGTGCAGCTAGAGAAAAAAAAAAAAAAAAAAAAGTCTGAAGACACTTAAGCACTTCTTATGAGTTGTGAATGCGAAAGCATGAACGTCCAATGGAACGCCGCGGAGTGATCCGCGGAGTTTTGTGGCGCGAGTAATGTTTTCGAGTTGTGCTGCGGGGTACGTTTTAGAGTTTTGCGATGTAATTGCATCAGGTGTATTTTCTAGAGTTTCTTCGTTCGCATGTTGGCTGTAGGCCTGAAACAGTGGGGTGTCCAGACGAGCAGAAGCACCGCCGACGATGTGGATGCTAGAGGCGGCGCCATGTTCGTCGGCGTCAAGACGAGCAGAAGCACCGTTGACGGTGTGGATGATGGAGGCGACGGCATGTTGGTCGGCGGCGGGACGAGCAGAAACCTCCAAGCGCATGCCAACATGTCCGTTTTAACCGGCGCGGGGCCTGTAGTGGCATGGTTTTGCGGCGGTTAGTTTTATCGGCACGCTGGCGGCACGGATACGCAGCGCCATCTGGCGGCGGTCGTTGAAACTGACTTGTGCAGCGGCCAATGGGAGCCTCGTCGCCACGCGCCAGCCAATGGGACCTTTGGGATCAGGGAAACTAGGTGCCGTTTTTACGCTTCAAACTGATGACGTCGGCTCGCTCCATGGGACAGTTAATGCTTTCGCGTTAAAAGCCGTACAGCGTCACCTAGCAGTAGGACTTAGCAGATCTCAAGTAGTGCTGCCAAGCCAAGCCAATCGTTGTGCAGCCAACAAAGAATCCAAAATGGCCACTTCTTGGTGGTGTTTCCCGCTGATCGCTCGCGACGATTTTGTCCGAAAAATCAAACTTTCAGACTTAAGGCTGTCTGAAACAACGGTCGTGGATACGCACTATTTCTATCGGGTCGGTCACGGTTCCTCTTTTAGGTCCAAAACATCTAACAAGTTTGAATTATCAGCGTCCGAAAAATCAGTCGGCGACTGTAAATGTTTTGTCATTTTTTTAGCATGACAATGTTCAGGGCAGAGTAACAATAATAACTATTTGCTGCATTTATTCATCAGCATTTATAAAGAGATAAAGCAGGAGGTTTCTCATGCATATTTACTCTAGACAGTAGAAGTATACCAGTGTCTATATAGCGGAAGATTCACACACCGCATTAGTGACATGCACATTCAAAAGTGATGCTTCAGTCAGCCTTTCGTGATTGGTCTGGATTCTAGAGCCTGCAAGGACCTTTTTGGCGGGATTTCGTCAGAAACTGGATGTTGCTCCTTGCTCGGAACAGCTAGTTTATGACAGTTACAGCAAGCGTCCATTATGTTATTTATGTATACACTATCAAACTTGCTCTATCCAACTGGGCACAAGCGGCCAGGGTCATAAGCACTAACATTTTTCTATCACTTGTGTCTCTCATATTCACTTTGCACATCTGCAATGTTCTCTCGTTCTGTTTGAAGCTGTCCTGTGGTGCCTACGTGTTTGCCAAGCGTTCCCCCCACTGCTGCCCCCGGGTGGGACAAGTGATTTCATTGTTTGAGAGGAATGGTCGAAAGATGGCTCATCTGCAGTGGTTCTGGTGACTATTGCTTATCTCTCTACTGGCTCTGCGACTCTTATGATTGTTTGCTTCTTTTGCAAGAGTCATGGCCTGCTGTTATTCTGGCTGCTATTGCTTGTCTCTACCAGGCCTCTAAAGGGACACTGACAGTGTGTTTATGCTCGCCAAGGTTTTTATTTGTACATAACATATGAGAGCCCAACTACCCAGAGCACAATTTGCGGCTCGAGATTCGTTTTCTTTCCGCCTGAAAACTGCTGATCGAGAACTGGCCGGTTTGAGTCACGCCCACTCTCTTCCCCGTAACCACGTGCCGTTTTCCATGGTTTAGACACAACCCCCAAATATAATCGAAGTCGTGGGTCATCGAAGGCACTCACTCAATATTAAAAATAGAAAAGAAATATGATACCTATTTTTTGTGGCCTCTAAAAGGGCGCAAACACATTGATTGAAGAAAAAAAAAAGTTGCACAGCCACGTGACTTTTGCCAACTCTCTCCCCCTCTATATTTCTTCTTCCTCCCCAGTCCAGTTTCGGTTTTGGTTTCAAGCTGTTGCCTTTTTTTACTTTATTAGAAACATATGTGACGCTGTTTCAAAATATTGATTGGGTGGTCGTCTGACACCATAATGTATCGCCTGGCAAAAAAATCAGCAAAACTTTTGGGGAGTGTCAGTGTCCCTTTAGCTCCTATCATCTGTTCTTTCATCACCTTTACAAGAGTCTTTGTTTGTGTAAATTTTCATTTGTTTTTTAATTCATTGCTAAAGGGTAACTCTGGTCAAAAGTCGAACCAAAATAAATTAATGATATTGATTTATGGAGACGAAATACAAACACTGCCAAAAGATAACTCTAATGGGAAATAGTGATCCACTCTAAAACCTATATGTATTAAAAAAGTCTTATTTTTTGCCCATAACGTGCGAAGAAATGAAAGGGATAGCTGTAGCATGGTCGCACAATGCGGGTGGAATGGTGCCGTCGCATACCTGAGGACGGAGGTGCAACGTGGTTAATTCTCATAGCTGTCGTGGATCCCACTGACGACCGTTACCAGTGCTCGGCGATCCGTGAAGTAAGTGGGTAAGCACGGTGGAAGTTTCTAAAACCATCCAACATTATGCAACGCAACTGGACACTGCCAAAGTTGGATTTCGCATAATGCGAGGAATGTTTGAAAACAAGTCTTTTAAGCAGACGACACTATGATTCTCACTTCGTTGCACAATTCTTGGCTGGACGCCAGGGCTGCCCTCTTTGCTTTCTGTGGCGGGGAGTCTCGACTTCCCTCTCCTCGTGGCAAGAGGGGAGAAAAGAAGGGTTTCTTCATTTTCCCTATGCGCGCTGCAGTGACAAGGGACAAGGACGCAATCTCTGTAGAGTGTCGCCCATAAAGCTGTCGTTTTTAAATGCTACCAGCAGCTTCTCGGCGGGTATTCAGCGGGTTGGCTAATTGTCAAGCAACCTTGTACCCTGATGTCATGTTTGTACTCAAGGGGTTTACTTGCACAGGTTACTTGTTCGTACTACCACTTTCTCCGCCATGTTTCTCTGCTGCGTTTTTAGTCATCCCTGCAGATGATTTCTGCTTGTTGTGTTATGCTTTAGCGGCCGTCGTTTGTAAGTGCTTAGCGATGGCTTACAAAGATTATTAATCCCCTGCTCGCTCAAGCGCGTCGGGGTGCCGAAGTGCACAGAGCCCAAGGGACCGGTATCATTGTGTAAGGCCGAGCACACCTTGCTGTGCTGTGGGTTGCATAGACAACCTGCTGTGCAATGCATTTTCACCAGCTTCTCCGAAACTCGAAGTTGAGGAAACTGTGGGTCGACGCCATTCGTCGAAGAGATTTCAGAAGGCCGTAGACTCCAAAACCCAGATCGAAGCTCTGCTCGGAATACTTCACGCCACACAGCTATACGCGGGTTGTTCGACTGCCGGCTACTGTGGATTTCTTTACGGTAATATTGCGATGCAATCATGCGGCACGATTTGGGCCGTTACTGAATGCATTTTGTTTTTACTGTACGTGGCATTCACTGGTGGCCGTTGTTGAGTTCGTTCCCGCTTAGCGCAAGCTTAGGATAAGCTTCCACAACACTTGTGCAATGTGCATTGTACACCAGCAAGATTGTAGAAGATTGTAGTTCTTTTCAGAAGACAAGTGGGAACTTGTTCTGAGCCTGCACTATTCATCGCGGTGAACTTGCTCTTCACCCGCAATTTTATGAGTATGCATTAAAGGGGCCATGAAACGAGTTTTCTACCTTCGCTAAATACTACTCAGAATCACTCCCGAATGTTAATAACCGAATAAACTTGCCTTGGTTTTTGTTTCTAAGCAATGGCAGTCGGAAAATGAATTTCAGAAATACGAGCATTGTTCATCCCCTCAACTCGGAGCCAGAATAAGCGGCCACGTGGCCTGGTGCCTATCCTATGCCGCCAATGTGAATCATAGCCACGTGCTGTGGTTGGCAAAGTAGAAAACGCACACTGAGCTCCAGGCATTGTTAGAGTTCAGTTCTTCTCATCACCGCAGTGGTTGGACACCAGCCACTATCCGAGTGTCCGCCGAGGCTTGTTACGAGCCGAAGTCGAGTGCTCACAGAATTCTCTTGTCCAATCCATGAGCCATACTCGGCCGTTGTCAGGCGGGTGGTTTTGATCCCACAATTACGTCGTGAAGCTTTGCGAAGGCAAGAGTGAAAGAAATAGTCCCCCTCTACCCTTGCGACTTTACCGCGACCAATGCTTCTGAATCAGTTGCGGTCCGTGCGAGTGTACTTGGGCCAGACTAGGACCAGTACGTCTTTGTAAAGTCATGTACATTCCAACCCGATATTGTTTGATGACCCCTTTAATATTTCCTGGAGATATTTTATATCTACGAACCAAAGCAATGAAAACGGCCGTAGCATTTTAGCAGACTGATTGAAACTGCTCTTGCAACTAGACAGGTCATTCATGCATTTTGTGGTACCGCCGTACAAACTTCACATCACACGGTAGCCATGCAGCCTATCACCAGGGTCTCCATCTTCTCGAGCCAATAGTTTCGGTTTCATTGTAGACTCCCGAAAAAAAACTTCTACAAAGCTACGCAAAACACCAAAAAAAAAAAAAAAAATTTTTATTAGGGAGATTTTCTGCTCTAAAAAAACAGCCATAACCTTAAAATTGAGAAGATGTACCAGAGTTACCCTTTAAATGAAAGTGAATAATGCTTTTTTTATGGTGTGCATTTCTGTTTCTTGATGCAGAAGTTTTTTTTTAATGGCTGTACACATCGCGACACTGTTAGCGCGAACACGACAACGGCGCATTTTAACATTTTACTTCTAAATAGTATCAGTGAGCACGGAATTTTATCACTTACATTATATATTTAAATGAGCTCTTTCCGTAGCGTTAATAACTTGGATGACATCCCTTGGTTTCAAAGAGAAAAACTGGAAAAACTGGTAATCGCTTGTTCGCGCTAACAGTGTCGCGCTCTGTACATACATTTGTGTGTATATTTTGTCTATCTTTGTGTGTAGACTTGTGAATTTGCATATTTGTACTTCTCACTTCCTCCAATCATGCCTTCTGGATATTGCAGGGTAAATTAAATAAATGAATAAATAATGGTTATTGCTAGTTTTTTTTCTCAAGCTGAAATTTTCCAGTGCCTGGTTAGTTGCAAGCAAACAGCACAAAGCCTGGAAAGGATTGGAGAAACAGTTTGGCACTTGGTTTTTCTTGTATTGTTTTCTTGACAAACCAAGAGATTTTTTTTTTTTTCTGTGTAATGTCCTGCTACTATGTGAAGGATCTCGAAGAAGCAATAACGGGACAGAAACAGCTAAGCAAAGAACAAGCAAAGTTTTGAAGCAAGTTAGCTGATCACGATCTGTCAGAATTTGTATTGGGGTTTTGGACCTTTGCAGACATTTGTGTAATTACTTGACCCGTTTTACTTATAAACTGGTTCTCAAGTCTTTCACTGGTTGTGCACTATTTTTGGATTTCTAACCTAAATATGACATTGCAACTAACAGTTTCAAGTTAAAAAAGAAAGAAGTTAATGTTTGTCGTTAGCTTGTTTTTGTTCTGCTGTCCGGAGAAAAGGATGATCATACAATTTTACCCTTGTTCTCGATGTGAAGAGTTAGGTGCAGCTATTTTTAATGCTTCAAATCAAAACCTGCTGTTATGAGCAGCTTTAATAGTTTCATGTTTGTACTGTCATTGACTTGCATTAGTTGAACTACCTTTCGACAGTGCAGTTTTACAGTTTGCTCACCCGAAATTTGTTTTCTCGCTTCCAGTTATTCTTCGGAGACTGTCCTGGAAGACATAGCTGATCCCTACGAGATCTTCATGGACAACAGTTGTGGGGACGTTGCACTGAACGACATATACAACAGGTGCCCCGTAAGTTTAGTGGATCACGATAATATCTCGACATTGTGTGTGTTCAAACTCATTCTTTTTCTTACCGTGAGCTCTCAGGCAAGTCAGAAGCTTTTCTTCGAGGAGTGGTTTGAAGAAGGTGGCAAACCCGATCTGTCTGTAGGCACCAAGAAGAGCTACTATTTCTCCAAGATGTAAGTGTATTCAAACTACCTTTAAATTATCCACTGTTCTTAAGAATGCTCAAAACGGAGTGAGGTGCTTTGGTTGAGACGTTTCGGGCAGAGTCGTAGCATAAAATAAATTGTTAAAACATTCGGGCTACAGTTTTCGGAACACTTCTCTCGATTGATTGCAGGTACCACTCGGACACTGGCCGATTTGAAGACGTACCCATGACTTTGCGTGAAGACGGCACATTGAGATACATGTGCTACACGTGCTGCCAGAACGTCAAGAGAGAACCCGTGAGCTGGGCCGTCAGGGGGGCTAGCAGTCATTGAACGCATATGCATTTCTGATTTCAGTAATCAGCATGCAATTGTATTCACTGATTAGCCATGATTAGCTGTAGTACTAATCACTGAGATTAGTAGTGATTAGTGCACTACATACTATATTCTGTTTGCCCCTAAGCTAACAGTGCAATGGAAGTTACGTGCTTGTTAGATCAACCATATAACTATATTTCGCAATGTGATCATGCTCGTGCCCATACCCATGTACAAAGAGTGGGGTCAGGTGATGAATGGAAAATAGTTGATTGGCTCGATGATCGCGTAGCTCTCGCCGCACTGTCAGATATGGTGCGAACGGAGTACAGTAGTCCTCCTACAAAGCGCTCTACCCTTTCCACTTTAGCAAACTGAACACTACAGAGGAGGCGAGAGATCTCCAGGATTTGCTCTGCTTAATTAGTGGAAAGAGTAAAAGGCTTTGCAGAAGGAGTTTGTCCCGGTTTTTGTAACCATTGACAGAGTACTGTGGGGGCTTCGTTTAGCGCAGTAGAAGAAATGATGGCGTACCAACTTACTCTGGGATTTATTTTCTAGGCAAATGAGTGCTGTCTGAAGGATGAAATTCTCACCGACAAAAATGGCAACGTGTCTTACTACTCTATGAAATGGAATATGAAGCGCTATTTTGTTGGCGACTGTGTCTTCCTTAGTCCCGGAACATTTGATTTTGACTTGCCTCCAAAGAATCAGGTGTGACCCTTGGCCTGTCTTTGTCTGGGAAGTACCGCACTCGCTTGCTGACAGTTTGTATTTTTTGTCAGCCTCAGCAAGGTGCTCAAGACAACTCTAAGAAACATGCGCGGCCATTTCAAATCGGCTGCATCGACTCCATTGTTGCCTACAAGAATGCGCATCGTATCTCCCTTTGTGTTCGCAAGTTCTACAGGTGAGTTTCGTTTCTTTCCATTGTGTAGTATGCTTGCAAGCAGTCTTCTTCTATTTTCTTGAGTAGTAATATGGGTTCCAGTATAGCACTTTTCAAGTTTTTAACTCTGTGTCTTTAGGCCTGAAGATACTGATCTCTGCAAAATTCTGTCTTACGAGTCGGATCTGAACCTCTTGTATTATTCCGAGGAAGGTATGTCACCGCATGCTTCGTACAATGACCCATTTGTGAAGTATAGTTGTTATAGTTAGCAACATTGCAATAATAATTTGTTTATTTTCAAAAGCTTTGTATTGTTAAGTACAGTGGAGCTGTTAAGGGCCAGTTTCCCCAGTTTCGTGTCCGGTACCAAACAGATGTAGACACAAAACTCTGGAACAGCTACCGCTATCTATGAGTGACGGCGGCAACCAGACAACCAGTCTGGTTGCTGCCGTCACTCACAGATGGTGGTACCCTTTCCAGCTATCATAGAAGAATGGATAGTTCGGCGAGTTCGTGGGAATTCATTGTAGGAAACGGTGCGCAAAATAGACGAGGACGAAAAAAAACACATATGGGCAAGCCTACAGCTTTGCTGGTCTTCCTTCTTCACCAGAGTGGAAAGGCTGAAAGTTTTTTTTGTTATGAGATTAACACACAGACAAGAAATGCTATGGAACCAAATCTATTGTGTTTGGGAGGAACGACAGACATAAAACAATGAACGGTTTATTGTCACATCTGGTAGCTTCCACAGTAGACTCGCGATAATTCAAATTTGGATATTGCGTGCTTCTGGTTAATTCAAGCAAATTTCAAAATTTTGGTTCTCTTGCTATATTTTTAATGTATTAATAAGTCGCTTAATTGGAACGGCGTTTTCGTGCAATTCATGCTTTGTCCCCACGGCTCCGTTGAGGGCGCTTCTTTTCGAGCACCGATGCACTGCAGAAAAGCAGCACCCGCGGAGCTTGGTTCCATTGGTGTTGCTTCTCCGCGTTGCGTCGGTTCTCGGTGAGAAGTACACTTAAAGGGATCATGAAACGCTTTTCCAACTTTTTCCTGTTTAGCTTTCCTCCTCAACTCATAAATCACGCATTCCACCAAACAGTTCAAGAAGACAAAAAGAGGGGAGGCCCCTCTTGCTCGGAGTTTGGTTTGTGTACCTCGACAGAGCCATTCTACTCCTAGAAGATTAGCCCGTCGGTCAAAATTCAGACAAAAGTTGCTTTCCCCACCCCGTTCACCCCGAAGTTGACAGTGCTGTGGAAGCTACGTGCTCGTTGGACCAGCCACACTTGCGACGTGATCACACTCTCTCGCGCATACTCACACGTAGAGGATGAGGTCAGGTGATAAAAGGGTAACGGCTGATTGGTCCAGCAAGCGCGTAGCTTCTACCAGAATGTCAGCTTAGGGGTGAAGGGAATAAGTGAGGTCCGGTTTCGTGTGGCGTGCGTTTGGACCTGATGACGTGCTTTTGGGACCGCGGATGTATCACAGTGAAAAGGCAGAGAGTTTACGAAGGGGAGGAGGTACGAAATAGTCCGCTGCGTTTTCAAATTTTCGTATCGAAAGTCAGGCTTTTGACTTTCTACCTTTTTTCTTTAGGCCCACTGAACGATGTGCTATTAGTAAAATCCCAATCTAAAATGATTTATTCCAACCCAAAATTTGTTTCATGGGCTCTTTAAGGGGCTCAAGCAGTACTCTCGTGAACTATGAAAACGGGCACCACGCGGGAATTTCCACAGCAACTTGCACGGACGCTGTGACGTGGCGGCATGGCATAGGTCCACGTCACAGCGTCCGCACAAGTTGCTCTGAAAAGTGCCACGCGGTGCCCGTTTTCATCGCTCATGTATGTGTCCCCTGCTTAATAGTTTACATTAGACAACTTCTTGGCCTGATGAACAAACCTAATTTTGTTTTGAGTTGTCATGTGCTGTCTAAACAGTCCATGATAAACACTTTTGAGGGACAAATAAACATATGTCATACTCTTCACAAAGTGTTTCATGTGCAGCATATTTGCCTATGATCAGTAGGCCTATGTAGAGGAAATCATCAAATATCTGCTTTGTATATGTAGCCATTAATTTGGCAAATCATAATTTTATTTTGCATCATGTTTACTAGATGAATTTCTAAAATTCAAACTTCTGATAGTTCAAACAAAATTCGTGTCTTCCTGCAGTTTAAATTCATGAGAGTGTGTTGTATACATGCCAAACGAAAAGTGAGTGAGCAGTGGGAGCACACCGGGTTTCACTAGGTCTGGTGTCATTGTGCTTCTGATGCCACCTACACTCGGTTGTTGCATGCATAACCAAATCTATGCTGCCATCAAGCTAAAAGAAAGACTGGTTTATGTTGCAACTACGCCTAAGGCACTTCCCAAATGAGGTGCGATGTTGGGTAACATGCAGTACATTTGTTGCACTTTTTCACGTAAATTGCTTTAGCTTGAGGGCTCTAAGAATACCATTGGGTTAGAGTTCACTGCATCTCATTCTACCAATATTTTAGTGGCATCCGTCGACATAAAGGCCATCCAGGGGAAGGCTCCCGTTGTGTTCAAAGAGTCACCACAGAGTACGCCTGCCGGCATGTGGTGCATTGGGGACACCTTTGCATTCTCACAGGTCGGTGGTCTCTCGCTCTCACACCATTTGTGTCGATCGTAGCCCAGTTCATGGCCAATCACTCGAATGGTCCTCTTTTCCAAACTACCACAACAGATGTACTGTGCCGAGAAGAGAATGTTGTGCGCCGTTCCAGCCGAGGCGCGGAAGATTGGCTCCAAGTTAAAGGTACGCCATTGTAGAGGTTTTAGTTGTAGCGGTGCCTTTGTTAAGCCTAAAACAAAAAAGATTGTTATTTTAAAAGGATGTGGAACTCTTTTATGACGTGTTTTGGTGCTCCTACCTTTCTAGAAGCACCAGAAACGAGGAGGAAGTGAACCAAGGTTGCGGACACTGGAGGCTTTTGCCGGCTGTGGCGGTAAGTGAGATGCAGCTAAACTGCTCATCTCTGTGCCTGCTTTGTGACTTTTGCACTGAGGGCTTTTTTTCCTTGATTTGTTCTTTTATTCTTATTGTGAGCGAACATGTTTTGTCTTTACTTTTAGAGAATTCTTTGTTCTTGATTTTTGGGGGCTGGACCATTTTGCACTGGAAGCCCGAGAGTGGCACCTCCCTGCAGGTATCTCGTGCGGCTTGGAAGCAGTGGGCGTCAGCGACACCCTGTGGGCCATCGAGAGCTTGGAAGTTGCAGCGCGAGCCTTTAGTCTCAACTTCCCGAAAGCTACAGTTTTTGTCCAGGACTGCAACTCCTTTCTCAAAGAGGTGCTCGAGGTGAGTTGTTCTAACAAGAAATTTTAAGATGGAAGCTCGGGCAAGTTGGTAACAAGTGTTTATATTAATAGCAATGGCATGTGTTTGTCTTTTTATGTCTCCTCTTCATTTGTCTTGTTTGTAATGTGCTGTTGCTGCTGCCGTAATGTCCCAAGTTATTGTCCATCCCCGAGTCATCGCCCACCCCACTTTTAGGGCGAATATCGATTTCCCCAAAAAGCACCGGGTGATTGCCTGCCCCTACAAATACCCCAACACGAACTCCGCGACCTGCGACCGTTAATCCTACCCAAATGACACGGCCACAGACCTTATGGTTGGAGGACGTCCTTGACAAAGTAAAACGAAGAAGGGAAAGACATATGACATTGATTATGCATTTCCTCCTCTATTTGTGCAACCCCCAAGTTGGAGTGCATGCGTGCAAAAGGAAAACAATGGAGGTAACAAAATTAAACTTTGTTTTGCTTACAAAAAGGTTGGGTTGGACAAGAAAGAAGTTGGAGAGATGACACAGGCAGTAACCCATTCAGGGATCGCGAGATCAGCGAACGCCCAGGATGTAACCACGGTGTGTAAGGCCAAACTCAGTCTCCAGCGAAATACGGTCACCGCAAACCCACTCCTTCCCCTAGAACGTCGCGACTGCGATTGGTAAGCTTGTGCAATGTTTGAGACAAAGTCGACGGGTAAATAAAGATTTGCTGAAACGCCGCACACAGATGTTTGTAAAGCGCCCCATCTTGAGCTCTGTTTTCATGGTGCCGTGCATGCTAAGGGGTAGCGCCGCCTCATCCCGCTTTGATAGCACGCTGTGCACGGACGCACTCATGTATGCACCAAACAAGAAAGTTGCACAAAAGCCTTGTGATTGACAAGACGCCCAAGTTGGCTTGACGCCAAAGTATTTGTCAACGCAATCGCCGGCTTTCCCACTTCTCCATCATCGCTCTTAGTCGCTTTTTTCGCCTGCTCGCTCGCTCGTTACACCTGGTTGCCATTTTTATTTTCTTGGCTTTTTTTTACTAACAAAACAAACGTTTGTGCTGTATGCCAATCGACGGTTTTCATCGTGTGTATGCAAGCAACATACTGCGATAGTAAGATGTTCTTTTGTTAGTATTTCTTGCATAAAACAATGAAACTAATTTTAGTTTTGAGTTAAATGTATCTCTTGTGCAGCCGCGCTAGATATGTACAGAAAAATGGGCGTTATTTTTATCCTTCTCTTAACTTTTTGTGCTTACCCACCGAGACATGGCCCAGCCCACTGTTTTTATGAATCTGAGGTGGCAGGGGGGTGGGCGATGACTCGGGATATCACGGTAATAAGAAAAATTACCTGCTCGCATAGGCATCAGTCTCTTTAGACTGAGAGCTAGTATCACCTCCATGCATGAGTGCAGTGTCACCTACAAAACACTACTCACTTCATTCGAAGCCAGGAATCAAAGTATCATTTGCTCATTAATAATGCCGTTCGCTTTGACTTGAAAGCAAGTATTGTTGTCAGGCATGGCTCGGGTTTAAAAAAAGGCACTCTTTTTCGCCCACAATGTGCGAAAAAGTAAAAGTGATAGCTGTAGTATGTTCGTGCAGTGCGGGCAAAATGATGTCGTCATGTACCTAAGGACGTAGGTGCGAAGTGGTTAATGCACATTGCCGTCGTGGTTATCGTCAAGAATGCCACTGACGACCGTCACAAGTGCTCGACGATTGGTGAAGTAAGTGGGCGAGGCGAGACACTGGATGCGCGTGTCGACATTCTTCATAAGCACAAGGATGATGTTGGTGCCGGCGTGTGTTGTCGGTGCTCTGATAACGGACACCACACAGAGGCCCAATTCTGCTGGGACAAGACTACGGAGCCAGTTGTTCTTGCGGCCGCCAAGGTCGATGTTGAAGTCGCCGGTTGTGATGAGTGGGACGTTGTCACGGCACAAAGTACAGATTGGTGAAGCATGAAATCTTTAAAACGTCTGTTGTGGATCGGCCACGTTGAAGGTATTCGCCCACAAGGGCTGCAGAAGCCAGGCATTCCCTCTGTGCTCGCTCCTGGGGCGGCGTGTGGCCCTGGTGTGGCGGCACCATTAGGAAGTGTTTGCTGCAGCGACAACGTGAGCGAAGGCGCGGGTTTCCCCGGTGTTGTCGAGCAGTGAAAAGAGGCTGTAAGGTTGATGTTTAACGAGGAGTGGAAAGGGGGATGCGCAATCTTTCCTCTTCATGCGGCGCGGCCACGGTGTGTGCGGCCAATGTAAACACCCAGCTTCCCTCCACTTGCGCCACGAGGGGGATGAGAAGGTTTTTTTCATCTCCGCTGCGATGACAGACAGCAACAAACGTCGACACCGAAATCCCTTCAAAAGGTCACCCACAAAGCTATCGCCTTAAAGGGACCATAAAGGCAATTTATTTAAAAAAAAAAAAGAGCGTGTTTTCGGAAGTATTGGGGTCCTGGCATGCCACACAATTTTTTCTAGAACGTTGTGACTCTTATTTCTGTACCTGCAAATAAATTTGCGAAACCGAAACAAACATTCAGATTTCTTCCCTTTTTCGCTTCTGGAAAGAGAAGTGACGTCAGGGAGCACTGTTGGCATCGGTAGGATTTAGTGCACACTCAGTGTGGTTCCCGTGGTTGGCTCTAGTGCATGGCGGTCTGTGAAGAAAACCTGGAAGAAATGGACGACAACGCCGCGCTCGCAAACGAGTTTGAGCTCCTGTTCAGCGACCTCACGCCGACTGAACGGGAGATGCTGCTAAGGACTCAGAACTCTGGATTGGCGACCGATGCAGCAATGCGCAGCATTGCTGCATCGGTCGGCAGTGTATGCAAACTAACGTCGCCTGATCGACCGCACGTCTTTAGCCGACCTTTCGCGCAACCTACTACTGCACATAAACGCGGCATGATTGGTGAGACACCAGTTCGCAAAGCGAACACGAGACGACGCACAAAACCAAAACCAAAAGTCCGCCGCCCCCGGCGCTTGTACCTCTTTTTCTTTTTTTGTCCATGGTTGCTCGATGCTTGTTACGCGCCCGAGGTAGCAGCGCGGGATGCGTTCAACCAGTGACAAACGGAGGGATCGCTTCAGATTATGCTTTTATACACGGTATGAAACCTATTAATTCCTAACTACAACTTCAAAATATTATCCAACGTTCAAATAAACTTTTTTCATCACATCTCACCACCGAAATCGAAACCAAGAGCGCATCTACGTTTCAACCAATCGCCAGACGAGGAGCCCGTTGTCGTGACGCTTCGGCGCACTTTAGTTCACCTTTCTGCCGCCACCTCGGTGGGGTCTCAGGCATCGTTCCCGGCGCTATTATCACTGCGCCTGTTTGCTCGATTGGTGCGGAACCCAAACTTCTGTTCGGGCTAGAACTTGGTCAATAGTATCTGAGACGTGCCTGACATCCATTTCAATCGTCGAGTAAAACTTCGAGACTGCCTTCATGCGAGAAGGGTCAGGATGCCATCTTGTGAGAGCTGTCTTGGTTAGCATGGTCAATTGGGTCGTTTCACAGAGCGCTCACTGAGCATTAGCAAGTGGCAAGGACTGTTGGACAATACATACTTGTGGATGAACATGCTCATCTATGCTGATCTGATGCCTAATCTTTTGGTATTTGACAGTAGCGTAACCTGAATCTCTTGTCGTCGATATAGTTGGTGCACTTGGGTTCATTTGGTGCGGTTGTTAATTTTTGTTTGTTACAAGTGATAAGCTTGGTGCAATTGCATAAGTATGTTCTTGCTACCTTTTCCGTAATGGTCTTCAAGCGAACACCGACGTTATTGATGAATAACTAAAAAAATTAATTCGAGCATGTCTCAATTATATCTGTCAAACTTGGAGATTCACAGAATGTGTTGTGAATGTTTGAACCATACTGAACCGAAATGTGAAGCTTCAAAAATAATGCCCGAGTGAGCTTCCCGGCTTGGTGCAGTGCCCAAATATGCGATTCATTCAGATGGACGATGACTGGATTATTGTATTTCTTTGAACAAAGTTTCCCAATCGCACTGATCAGGCAAACCGTCAGCCGGGGGCAGACAGTGCGAGCGAAGCCTTGTGGGAGTAGCCGTGGCAGAGCTGACGTATGCTTACTTGCTCTCTCTTTCTCCTTTTTGGTTCTCCTGTAAAACGGTCACTTTACGATAGGTGACCATTTTACTTGAGGCTATCATGCTCAGATAATATTGACATTTTATAGTGATCCATAAAGGTTATGCAAGGAAGCCACCTTTGGACTTTTGCCTGGTGTAGCCCGCAGGCAACAAGGCTATAACTTGCAAGTTTACCTTGTGTTTGTATATCTCGTCACTAAAGGGTTAACGCTGTGCTCCCAATAGCCGTGATGTGAGTGGATTTGATTTTGCCAATCCAGGGGCAGGAGACCAATGCCAAGGGCCAGAGGTTTCCTAAGAAAGGAGAGGTGGATCTCCTGTGCGGTGGGCCACCCTGTCAGGGCTACAGCTTGCTTAACCGCCACAGGGGCAACTGGAACTCCAGACTCAAGGTCCATCAATGCATTCTGCCTTGTTGCATGTCAATCTGTGCGCCACCACTCACATCACAATTTTTGTTTTTTGTCCTGTCTGCCTCTATGAACTTTAATAGTTTTTTTTGTTTCTTGCTGAATTTTCGGGGCTGTTTCATTGTGCCGTTTTATCCTGTTACATTTTTGCTGCGTCACCTGTTTTGAGCTGCCGTTTCAAACGTAATTTTGATTAAAAATGTATCGCCAGTTAAAGCGACAATTTACTTTTCCCGGGCTTGCCAAAACCTGGGCCTAATTAAATTTGGGAAAAACTTTAGTTTGTGAGTTCTCAAGCTTGGTTTCTAGGAACCCACCGCACAGGAGATCCTGTGCGGTGGGTTCCTTGTGCTATGCATCAGTGGTCTGAGCCAACCACTGATGCATAGGTAACTGTGAGCCAAACACTTCCTAATAGGTATGTGAATTACTATTTTGAAGGTTCGTAGAATCATAGGCTTCGGCATTGCTTTATCGTTTAGTGCCAAGACCAAGAAGGGTCCCTCGGTCATTCATCGAGAGAGCTAAAAAGTCTTCAAAGACTGAAAAGCTTGAACACCCATGTTTTAGACAATGTCACTCGACTAACAGTAACATGGCAGCCAAAGAGTGAACTGTCAGTGGAAGAATGCTAAGATTACAGTCACAAAAATATTGTGTGGAAACACACGTCGTTGTCTCGCAGAACTCACTGGTCTCAACACTGCTCAGCCTCTGTGACTACTACCGGCCGCGGTTTTTCCTCATGGAGAATGTGAAAGGCTTTATTAGTGAAGAGAAGGGCCTGGTGATGCAGCTCACGCTGCAAAGCCTGCTGCGCCTCGGCTACCAGTGCTGCTTTGGTGTGCTTCAGGCAGGGTCCTATGGGCTGCCACAAGACCGGAAAAGGTGACCCTGTCGACTGAGGAGCTCAAATACCATATTGCACTTGACTCGTTGTAGCAGCACTCTGATGTTATTGGCACGGTGGATGTTGTCATTCACGACATACTTCCGTTGTCGATGACGTGAACTCGAAATCCTGTAGGTGCTGGAGAATCAGGTTGTTAGCTGCGAAAATTTTTTTAATATTTTCAGATTTAGATTTTTTTACATTTATGGGAATTTGTGTGGTTACTTTATTAAATCGCGGCTCAAAACGTGTTCCAGAAAGCGTACCTATTAAAGGGACAAATTATTATGTGACAAACATTTAAAAACTTGTATTGAGAAAAGAAAGGACCTGATAAGGTGAGCTGGTTAAACATAGTGTAATGTGGCAAGCAAAGCGTGACTACCTTCTTTGTTTGAACGTGGCTTGACAATTTCTTTTCCAGCACTGTCCCTTAGCCCTTCAGCTGCCAATGACAAGATATCATTCCGTCGACTTTTTATCACAACTGCCGATGACGAGAAAACCCATCATGACCCCTTCTGACAGATTAAATTTAAGAGTCATTTCCTGAAGATTTTTTTAGGGGATATTCTTAATTTACTCGATTATCACTCAACCAAGCATACTCTGAAACATCGCTAGCCTTTTTCGGTTTTTCCTTAAGCCGCGTTGATAGCAGATGGCATTCGGAAAATGGTGGTGGTGGTTGCTTGCTTCAGATGCTGCATTAATATATGCATCTATTCGCATTCGGTGATCATAGCAGATAGACTTTATTATGCGGAGAGAGATGGCAGTCTGGCGAGGTCAAGTGCCTGTTTCGGCTCTTTTGCCGTGATTTTCAATGGGCCAAACATGAACAAATTGAAATAATGACTTAACGCAGATGACTGATTCTCTTCGATGCCTAATACTTTGACGAGTCACACGAAAAGCGTGCTTTTCTGACTATTTGGCGGACATTTATTTTTCTCTGAAACACGGGGTAAAGGGCGGTCCAAACCACGGTGATAGAAATACTTCAGGTGGCGTAACGGTGCGCCTCCGCCGAAGAGCCGTCGCGTCCAAGGCCGGCACGCGATTCTCTCCCTTTCCGCCAGGGCGCGCCACCAACATGGAGGGCGGAGGTCGATCGTCGCCGTCTTTGGTGAGCAATAGCGTGCGCCGGGCCGCCGGGCTACACCGTTGCGCAGTTTATCGCTTTGTTTCCGGTCAGTCTCGCGGCTGCCGAAAGTTGACGGCAATGGGAAAAACGTGTTTCGTGCCACGGTGCAACGCGGGATATAAAACATGCACGGAAACGCTGTCCCTTTTTGCTGCTCCCAAAGAAGACGACCGCCTGAAGGTATGGCGTCACGCGATCCCGCGCAAAGACCGCCTGCTGCAGCCGACAGACTTCTTCTGCGAGAGACATTTTGAAACAAAATTGGTGAGCAAATTGTGGAAAGCCGTCTACAACGGCCACATTCTCGTAAGTGCGCCACGGAAAGCTGCTCTGGCAAAAGATGCAGTGCCAACAAAGTTCCCGGGGTGCCCGAGCTACATGACAAAGAACGAGAAAAAAAGAAAAGGACCCGCGAACCGTCAGTGCCCACCGGCCACCAAGCGGCACCGTGTCACAGAGGAGTGCTCAGAGAGCTTGCATGCTGCCCACGTAGACGATTCGTCACCTGAAGCCTTGCAAGAATGCACCATGGTCAGTGAAAGTGCATCTGCAAGTTGTGCCGAAGTTGCCGAACCGACTACCACCATGCCAGTCACAAAACCGTTCGAGAACATCTTCGAAAAGGCAGACAGCGTACCCCTCCCAACCGGTGCCTGGGCGTGTCATAAGGTTGAGGTCGGCGGCTTCGAAACTATTGTGTTCTCCGAGTTTCATCAGACTATATAGAGCAGCGACAACACAAGCAAGTGTTGTGGAAAATGATGGTGCCTACAACTACTACTCTGCCCCACCGACTCACATGGTTGCAAGGAAAGTGATCAGCATTGACGAAGATTTAGGTGTCAATGTGGCTCTGCTGGGTAAGCGAGCAACACTCGAATTCCTAAATCTTTCTGGTGATGTCAGCTGTGTCGAAGATGCTGAAAAGTTGGTTGCGGATTTGCACCAGGCCCGTTTGTGTGCCGGTGGACCAAGCGTTAAGTCGTATCCAAATGTCCATTCAGCAAGTGCTTTTGTTGATGTCGCAGGTCGGTGCCGACACAAGCAATGTGATTTATTGCTCAAAGACGGTGAAAGTGCGTGCTCACAGTGCCAGTGCCTTGTGACTACACTTCGGATTCATGAAAAACGCATGCTGGACAAGACCAGGGATAAGAGACGTCCTCGATATATCCGCCTGACCACTGCCCGGAACAGCAACGTGCTTGCTTTCAGAAGAGCCCAGTATGCATTGAAGAAATCGGTTGATCGTCTAGCAAAGAGAGTGCAGTCACTTAACTGCCAGCTGAAGGACATTAAGCGAAGTTGTCCAGAATTTCTGATGAAGCTCTGGAGGAAAAACTGAGTGGTTTGCATATCCCCGAAGCACAAGCAACAACTATGAAAGAGTGCATTGCAGCTGCCAAATGCACAAACAAGAAAAACAGACGTTACACTGACCATTGGCTCCTGCTCTGTCTTCTCTTGCACATCCGCAGCCCGTCAGCATATTCCTTCTTAAGAGACAACAACATCCTGCCGCTTCCTTGTGTATCAACTGTAAGGAAGTCCTTATCTACGGTTCGTGTCAAGTGTGGCTTTGACACTCGCTTTTTCTCTGCTTTCAAGAAAAAGCTAGCAACATAAGATACTTTTAAGAGGCATGGGATTCTTATGTTCGATGAGATCCACGTCCGAAAGGAGATGAGGGTGAATGCAAAAACTATGACCTATACAGGCCATGCAGACTTTGGAAAGGAAGTGGAAGCACCGAACCAACTAGCAGACCATGGACTAGTGTTTACATTTCGCTCTTTTGGCAAGAGTTACTCGCAGCCTGTTGCTGTTTTTGCCAGCCGTGGCCCTACCAAAGGGACTGTGTTGGCACAGCTCATCCTGAAGGCTGTTCTCCTCCTCGAGGATGCCGGCGCATTTGTGGATGCAATTGTTTGTGACGGTGCTGCGACAAACCGGTTCATGTGGAAACAGTTTGGTGTGACAGGAGCATTAGAGGGTGCGAAGAACAGCTTTGTCAATCCTGCATGTGAAGACCGAAAGGTTTTTGTTTTCTCGGATGCACCGCACCTTATCAAGTGTGTACGGAATCGTCTTGTGAAGCAGAAAGTGCTTTCTGTTAACGGTGCCTGTGTCTTTTGGTCGCACTATGACAAACTTTATGTAGAAGATACGAAGGCTGAAGGCAAGGCGAGGGCTTGTCCGAAGCTGACGTTTTCTCATTTATACCCTTCGAACACTGAAAAAATGTGCGTCAAGCTTGCAACTCAGGTGTTCAGCCTCAGTGTTGCAAAAGGTCTGGAGTACTCTAAGAGAGGAACCGCTGGACTTGGAAATGTCCAAGGTACAATTGACTTTACAGTGCGGATGAATAACCTTTTTGATGCGCCAAATCGTAGGCACCCAAAGGAAGGTCTAAAGCTAGGTGGAAAAGATTTTAAAGTACTCGAATCCTCTTTGAAATGGCTCAATGACTGGGAGAAAGAACCGAAGGCAGGAAAAATTAGTCCTTACAACTTTTTATCACAATCAACTGCTGAGGGGCTGCGAGTGACCATTCTCTCAACGATTCACCTTTCGGAGTATCTGCTGACGAAATGCAATTTCAAGTTTGTGTTAACTGCAAAGTTTAATCAGGATGTTCTCGAAAAATTTTTCGGAGTGATACGTCAAGCAGGTGGACAGAACGAACATCCCTGCATGCCTACGTTTTTGCAACTGTATAACATGCTTTGTATTTACAGTCTTGTGAAGCCGCCTAAGTACGGAAACTGTCAAGTTCATGCCAATGAAGAGCTGCGTCTCCTAAGCTTGTCCGATCTAACCACAACATTTAAGGAAGATGTTCCGTGCGAGTCACGACTAGAAGAGCTCAAGAGGAAACTTGACGGTTGTGTTGATGATGAGGTTGAATGTGAGGATGTATTTGATGGCGCCCCTGCATCAGCCACTGTCACCGAATGCATAATTTATTATGTAGCAGGGTTTCTGTGCAAGAAACTGCTAAAAAACACAAGCTGCTCAGTGTGCAAGACCGGACTAACGGCCACAACTAGCGCTGCATCATGTGCAAGACCCGAAGCAGCTCTAGTAGTTTGCAAGACGCGAGGGGGACTGCTGCATCCCAATGCTGCTTTGTTTGGACTTCTGTATGAAACAGAGAAAATATTTCAGAAGCATGCAAGTGAGAAGCACGCGTACGACATAATCATTGAGCATGTCCTGGAAAATTTCCACTTGTCATTTCCTTGCCATGAACACAAAGTGGAGGTCATGGCGCACATTTTGCATTACCATGTTGGGATGCTAATGCGTCAGTACTGCAAACAGCTCAAAATTAACCAGGCAAAACTCAAAATTTGCGCAAGCTCTCAAAAGTAGTTCAGTAGACCGCTTCTCCTGGACCGATCTATAAAGTTTGAAGAACAGGAAAGGTTTAATATGGCAGACATTTCAGAGAAAAAAAGAACAAAAGCTTACGAAACGACTGCCTTATTAGATCTCTTCAGCTCTTCAAACTTCTTTTATCATTATGTATATTTACTTCATGAGTATTTTTTTTTTAATAGAATCAGTGTTTACCTGAAAGTGCATGAGTAGTTTGCCTTTTGTTTGTCAAATGCTGCTTTTTCCTAAAATGAAAGGCAGTGTAACTTCTCTAATAAACAAAATTTATAAATCGAAGCATATCTCTGCCTCGTTTCGTTTCTGCGCCAGAACTAAAGTTCAATGAGTCCTCACTGTCAGTAGGCCAGCTGCATCAAAAAATTTTATTTGATCGTTTTGGCGTAATGTTGCAATAAAAAAAAAAAAAAGTTGCATGCTGCCGAAAGGCCCTTTCTATGTATTAGCTGCAAGTGAGGCTCATGAACATAGACATCTTTTAAAACGTGCCGTTTTTATTTTAAAGTAGACGTGTTTGTGCAAACGAGAGAACTATTTTGCCAGTGCTGCCGATCGGAGCATACTTAATACGCAAATAGCGAACCGTCACCACGACAGCACTTCAGCGTCCCGTTTTTCACTATCGACTATGAGCCGCTTGCATGCCGACAGGGCGCTTGGGTCCGCGTTCTTCGCTTCAGAAAGGAAGGAAGCACGCGCCATACGCACAAACACTGGAAATGACGCCATCAAAAACCCCTTTTTGGAATGGTTAATAGCCTTATATAATATCAGAAATATCCACCGCCGCTTAAAAGTACCATGGTCAACTTTTTCCTACAGTTTGAGTCGTGTAAAGCTTCGCTGCAGTTACTGAACGCTTCGCTGCGCGCGTAGCAGGCGGCCTCGCCGCTTCGGGTAGACCTTGATGTATTTGGCGCCATCTGGTGGCGCGTATGAGAACCAGGGACGAAAGTTCGACGCCTCCGAAGGCGGCGTTATGACCTGACCTTTCTTACACCGTGGTCCAAACCAAGCTGCAAAACAGATCCGCAGTAATGTGGGAGGTGGAACCCATTTTTTTTAATAAGTTCCACCTGCCGTTTTAGCCCAGAAATGTGCGGGAGCATTTGGACGAGGTGCGAAGGGAAACGCTGGGAGACGGAAAGGTTGATCGAGAAAGGGAAAAACGCAAATCACGGAAGGGAGAGTAAGAAAAGGCACCCTTTGTGGGACTTTTGAGTGGCTTCGACGGGGAGAATACAACAAAACCAGCTGCTTTTTAAGCCTTCCTTTGTCCTTTAGTAGGGTTCCCAAAAAGCAACAAGTTACCCACCCCCCCCCCCCCCCCCCTCCCATCACTCCACCCCGCCTCACCCCGCTCAAGGTTTGCGAGGAGGGCTAGAAGTGTGGACCGCCTTCCCCCCATTGTCCAAGGGGCTCTCCGTGGCACTCTGGAAACGGAAAAAGTTCAATATATTCAACTTTGGACCCGCAAAGTGGGAGCCACAAAACGTCACTGTTGACGTCACTCCTTTTTCCCGGATTTCTCCGGGACCAGTTTTCCAGCTTGGTTTGGACTGCCTTTAAAGTGTCAAACTGCCGACATTACTGGGGGAAACCTCAAATACTTGAGCTGTGAATCGAAGAGCAAACGCTATTCATTAAAGGGGCGGAGCAATGATTTTTTTACTTTGGCCAAATAACTGTGGGAATTAATCTGTGTCGCCTATAGAACGAAGAACAGAAAACCATCTGTTTCAATGTGCGCTAGTTTTTATTAAAAAAAAAAAAAAAGTTTTGAGGACACCTTAGTACCTTTTATGAGTTGTGAATGCGAAAGCATCCCTGACTCGCTGGTGACTGCTGCACCGCTGGGTGAGGCAGCGGTGGGAGAGCGATGCTCGGCGCGCCACCGGGAGTGCGAAGCTCGTCAAGACGCATGCTGAAAATACGTGTCCTCTCATCATCACCATCGCTTTAACTGTGGACACCGCTTGACGACATTAGACCTCCAGTGTAACAATAGGCCTAACCTTAGGCCTAACATCAGGCCAGTGCATACCCGCATCTCCCCTCCTCCCGCTGCGCCACCAGCAGTTCGGCTGGCTCCTTAGCAACGATGACGCCGTTGCTATGGAGCCACATGACTCATCGTAGTCAATGGGAATTTAGGTGCCGTTTTTCGCTGCTACAGATGAAATTTAGGTGCCGTTTCACTTAGCCCATGGTAATTAAGGTGCCGCTTATTGCTGTTACATACAACAATAATGCCGGCTTTACTTCGATAATGCTGGTTCGCTCTATGAGACATTTAATGATTTCGTATTAAAAATAAAACAAATTGAAGGCCAAACTCTCTACTCTTACATAGTCTTTTGAGTGGCGCCTTTGGGGGACCACCTGGTTTCCCCGTTGCGTTCTCTCTTCAGAGACCCCAGCCGCTCTCTCCATGTTTGTCGACTTTTCATAAATTAGCATTGCCGAAAGTCGCAGCGAACGATTGACGCAAAAGACGGTTTGGCAGGGGGCTGCTGGCAAGTGTAGCAGTAGAGGGGGCAGGTTTTGTTGACTTCTGCGTGTACCCCAATGACATGCCACTGTAGTTCCCATAACCACCACGCGCTAAATAATTTGTTGTTAGGGGCGAAGCTCCTTAGGGTCTACCCTTGTCCGTCCGGCGTCCGTGCTCACATCGATCGCCATCCCATCTGTCTTCTTAAAAAAAGAAAAAATGTTTGCGCAGTCGACAGGATTCGAACCTGTGCAGGGAGACCCCAATGGATTTCTACTCCATTGCCTTTACCACTCGGCCACGATCGCGGGACGAGTAGGAGGCTCTGAGATGTGGTAGTAACTCGAGAGCTGGGGATGTCATGGATGAAACGTTGCATGTAGCCGCTCAACGTCTACACAGGAGAGGGCGCTGTGGTCAAATGCGTATATAATCGCATTAAACTTTGCATGCATTGGCTCAACGTTTATAGACGAGAGGGCGCTGCGGTCAAATGCTCAACTGCATATATAACCACGATCCATACCACACATTCTCTTTCTGACATGGACCGTTGACTTAAGCGGTGGAGATGCATTCCCACGGCTTCTAGCGGATCCAAGCTGATCCGCTAGAAGAACCACTAGCTCTGCATTTCACCGACCATAAAGCTGTAATAATGAAGTCGAAACGCAACCCGGAACTCAGCACTACCTATGAGCAATAAAAAATAATCAGCACCATCCGCACTACCTATGAACAAAATCAGTATCATCGGCACCACCAGAGCTTCGCCCCAATCAACATCATTCGCCATGTAAAGATGCGGTCATTTTTTTCCTTTGCGAGTATGCGGTGGAATAGCAGTTTTTCGGGGGGAGGTGGCATTTTTTGTCTCCCTTGTGCCTAAATAAACAATATAAAAATACAAACTGCAAATTTTTTGATTGTTAAAATCGTTCCACTACTTCTTTAATTATTCCAAGTTTCTAATATTGGCACATCTCTACAAAAATTTTTTTTTATTGAAGTGCTATATTTAATTTTTTTGTTCCTCTTCTTGTAGGTTAGTCATTTTGGCTGCGGCACCGGGAGAGCTACTTCCAAGGTTTCCAGAGCCAAAGACTTCCTTCCCGAGCAATAATTTTGTGACAGTAAAGGGAAAAAAGGTGCGTATGTACCTTGTTTCAGTGGGCTGTCAACTGAAGTGCGCCGTTAATGCGTGCCGAATTTCGTTCGTTGTTCTGAAGCGCTAACCCTAAATCCTCAATGTAGCAAGTATCCAGATGAAGCAGCAGAAGTTCAGCTCTCCTTTTTTGGGCAATGGATGAACGGAGACTATAATTGGCGACAATAAAAACTCAGTATAGCGTGTCCCTGAAAAAAAATTTACGGTGTTTCTTTCACCGAAAAAAAGTACTACCATATGCATCGACGAATGCTCAATTTCTGCTTGAATGTAGTGCTACTGGTTCGGATCAGATGCCAAAGTTTCATGAAACTAATGCAAAGGTGCAGGTGAGCTGATTGAGAACCGTCAGTTTTAACTCTAGAGAGTGGGGAAAGAGAGGGAGAGGACAACACGAATCTCCAAATTTGTGTTGTCCTCTCTGTCTATTTCCCCGCCCTCCAGGGTTAAAAATGCCAAAAGTTTCAGAGCTCGTTCTCGGCAGCTGCCGCCATGCAGCTTCATGTAATTGCGGACTGTGTCGACTGCCATTTTCCCGTCGAAAATTTCTGGAAATAGCTTAGAGCTTTTGAATCAAATAATGACAAGTCCTGAAACTTTAACATCTGGTCTGAACTGCTGGGGTACATTTGGTTGGAGACTAAACGCTAGTTTATTTTTGCAGTGAAAAAAAATTATCCCGAAAGCGCCGCTTTCATTACGCTGATTCTCGACAAATGTGTTGGAATTTAGCGCAAGGGTTCCGACTCGGCAGAGAATGGGAATTCCAACCTCGCAATGGACTGCACACTGTTGTCTTTGGAGAGCCAGTCGGTTCTCCCAGGCGTCGGCGGTTTTGGATGCAGCCACCACAGCTTGCCTCGTTCGTCGCCTACGGTCGGCGGGCAAGGCCGACCGTAGGCGACGAACGAAGAAACCAGAATGTATTTTTACGAAATTGTGTATTTATTTTTACACATTCCAGTTTCAGTCATCTTCGAAATTACTTCTAATTCAATGGACTTGTCGAGATGTTTCTTCCAATTATTAAAATACCCATTAAACCCAGTGCTTCTGCCGCGTTTTGTTTCACCTTTTCCGCATTGACAGATCGTTTTCCTTCGAAAACTTTTTTCATCTGTGAAAACAAGCGGAAGGTCGGGGCACAGAAATCGTGCCCTTTTTAGTCAAAAGCTGTTGAACATTGAGCACGATGTGGGCAGGTGTGTCGTCATGGGGAACGAACCAGTCTCGAAGCAACTTGGGTTGTCATTCTGTCCACACCGCGTTGAGTGTTTGGCAGTTTCTACCTACTCGCCTAGCCTCGCGCCATGTGACTTTTTTGTTTTCCCGGATGGAACAAAGGTCTCAAGATGAAACGGTTTTTCGATGTAGGAGATGTGAAACAAAAAGTGACAGATGTGCTGAAAGGCATCAAAATCGACGAGGTTGGCTATTTTGGGTAGTGCAAGAACCGTCACGACGAGTGTACTGTATCGGTGACAGAGCACCGATAAAGTTGAATAAACTTTGAGTGGGTCAAAATAAATGCCTCACAAGACCAATCCCGTCCGCAAGACCAATCCCGTTCAGTCCAAACCATGACCGTCTAAACGAAAGATTGCTGCATGCACCGGGGCGATAAATGCTGCCACATTTATAAAACGCTTTAAGTTTCTTGGAAGGACAGCCTGCAGATGCTTTGCTTCGAGGGTGAGCTTCCTGCCTTTGACAACACTTCGTCACAAACATTCCAGGGTCGACGACGGACAGGTTCGAGGACGACTGAGTTAGCTAGCCTCGTTACGCATGGCGTCATCTCCCGATAGGCACAGAGAGCACATGACAGATTGTGTCATCTACCTTATCGCTGTTGATTGGCGATGAATATATTGTTTTTTTTTTCGCTATGTCCTTAGCTTTGGTGCTTGTGGTGCCAACACTGAATGCAAGAAAGACATTTCAGTGTTCCGATGCAAATTATTTTGTTGGTGGCGTCGTGGCAGAAATCTCAGTTGCTCGATAAAAAGAAACGCCCTTGGCAGTGTAAATTTTTTTTTTTGTCCTTCGCTATGGTGTTCCAAAATCCTCCCCTCCACCGTCCTAAAAGTTGTCTAAACTAGAAAATGGTATGTTTGTTGCTGTAGAGTCTCAAAAAATAAAAACTATAAATATATATAGTGTATTGTGAAATTTGTTTTTGGTGCAGTTTGGTCCAACCACAACATGGTGCACCAGCGCCCCACTCCGCACCATCACACTGCGTGATGCCATATCCGATCTGGCGTCGTTGGAGCCGAGCGATTCTGCTAGCTCTTTCTCCGAACCCATGTCGTGTTACCAGCGAATGGTAGGTACCGCACCAGTCAACTGTCGTAAACTTTCCTCATGGCTGTCCAATCGTTTTCTGTCGCAACTTTGTCTTTAATGACAAAGGCAAAGTGTTTTTGTTATGCATTGACCCTAGTGCCTGGAATGTGTCTTTGGTAGATGTGTTCAACATCCCATGCCGCCCGTGCATTGAAAGTGGTCCCGAAGCGGTGACAAACGACCTCACCGGAGCCGGCACGTCGTGCCGTTGGATGTCACCATCCTGGCGGTTGGTCGTAGAAATTCCTGCAAAAGAAAAGAGTGAATGCAAGTGTCGCTGTCATTGCAATGCCCCAGCTCGTAGCTCCTAAAATTCACGTGGGCTGTCACGCTGGAGGACGGCCTACAGTAAAACAGGCCGCTGCCAAGATTGTGTCGGGCAACGGCACGGCACTTCTGCTAGGTCATCGGGCACAACTCGAGGGACCGCTCATGAAGACGCGGCAAGCACGCCAGTCGGAGATGCGTTTCAGGTGCCGTCCCTGAACTGCCGAATGCTGCACCAGGAACCTCGGGGGCTAAGCAGACGTTCTCGGCATGTTATGCGCTGGCAAGTTTTGTAAGCTCTTCTACTGGGCTCGACGCTGGGGGTCCTTTATTACTGACGCAGCTGAAGGGGGACAGCAAGGGTCCGACCAGGGACCATGTGCCTAAGCTGCTTACCCCGCTGGTGCAAGCCAGGGTCGACCACATCCCCAAGGTGCCCCGGGCGAATTGGAGGAGCCTTCCCAACATCAAGCTGCTGTTACGGAATGGCAAATACACCAGGAAACTGTACGTCCAGCAGGCCGTGTTTAATACTTCAAAGTTCTCTTTCATTTTCTTTTTGTGGTGACATCTTTTTATTGAGGCTGCATATATTGGAATCTAGTGTTGTGCAGATATTTGAATAGTAGTTCGAATAATACTCTGTTCGACATTTGCTTCGAGGTAAACTGCAGTGTTCATGCTTTTCGAAGTGTCGATCGCAGCGGGTTCGCCTTGTGGAGTGCGCTTTTCACCGAGCAGCCGCTCACTGCGGGGAAGCAATACCCTCCCCCCCCTCCCCCAAGAGCTCGTGGGCCCTGCAGGTGTTGCTTTCGTGCAGTGCTCGGTAAAAAGCGCACTCAACAGGACTAGCCTACTGTTAGGCAGCGATATGTTGACAACCTGCATTCATCATTTGTGACTGCTTTTTTTTTTTTTTTGTCGAAATTGAAATAGAAGAAAGAATATTTGTGTATATATGCAAGCAGATTTATAAATCCTCTCAATTATGACAGCTGCGAAAAATCTGTTGTTTACATGCCACAGTTCATATAGTTATATTCAAATTAACTGAGCAAGTGGACACATGGAAGGCTGGGAACAGCTTTCACAAGTTCAGCTGAATTTTCGTTGAAGGGGGAACACTGATCTTGGAGACTCACTTTTTGTTTGCCAAGCCCAATGAAACAGCCCCAGCCTTGTTCAGACTTTTGTGCTGATCTCAAATATCTGTCATTTTTTTAAATTAATAGGTTAGTTCCCAGGATAATTATAATTAACCAAACTTTGTTTCCAAAAACCATTGCAAAAAGATATTCGAAAAAAGAATGTTTTAACATATGGTCATATACTACAAATTATGGAGAATGCAATGTTGGAAGCACTTTTTACATTGAACTTTTATTAATGACTTTACAACTCATTGAAGTTTAGTGCTCTATGTGTGGCTACCAAGCAATAAAACAATGGTCCAGTTAAAACTTTTCCTACACCTATATTAAAAAATCTACTTCCAACATAGCATGCTTTGCATATTTGGCTGCATGTTGCTAAAAAAGTTATATGTCTGTTTGCACTAGATGCTGAGATATCCCTCCTGAAAATATGTAAGGAGTCCAAACTTTTGTTTTGAGAAAGTGTTGTTTTAGTATCAGCTTTAGTACAATTTCAGTCCACATGGATATTATAAAGTGACATTATGGCTCAAATATTCTTCTTCAAACCAAGAAACTTGGCAGATCAAAAGAAAAATGGCTGTAGGTTTCAAAATTGACATTTTCCAAAAAAACAGTTTTTTAGAGATTTTTGGCTTTAAAGACCCATGTCTCCTTTTAAACATGGCGCACGAGACTGAAAGACTTTGAGAAACCTTTTGATATTCGATTCGAAAATATTTGGTCAAAACCACTATTTGCTTCGAATTCGCTTTAAACTCAAAATCCACTATTTGCACATGACTATTGGAATCCACAAATAGTTGTTAAAAATAAAGTGCTCTTTGATATTCAGTTCGAACGCAGTGGTTGTATCCGCTGTTCTCCAAGTGTCGCAGAACTACGGTCTTGTGCATGCCGCATGTTGACCATGCTTATTAGCCCCGAGAAGTTCGCGTGGCGCACCCTTACGGCAAACCGGGGTGACGTCACGGCGAGGAAAGAATTTTTTCCCGACTCGCGCCGCTCGCCCTGTGGAGGCTGTGACGAAGCTAGCTGTCGGTGCGCTCGTTTCTATTCATTTATTTTTGCGTGTTTTTCGTAGGAAGTGTAAATTTTTATATGTGCCTTTATTGAGGTATGGCCTGTAGCTACAGGCGAAACGTCAACCAACATTTTAAGCATGGTTGACAGGGCAGGCAACGCATGAATCGGAGTGGTATATGAAAATAAAGAAATATGGCCGCAATTGCAGGAGCATCACTATAGATTTACATCTCGCACAATAAATGCTGCTGATGGTCTGAATGAATTGGCAGGTTATGCATACTATTTTTTTTTTGTATCTCTGTTTTTAAACAAGATCGCCGTAGCAGGAAAGCTGCATGCTGCTCGAGCAACATGCTAAATACAGTGTGGGCCATGGGGAGAGAATCACAAGTAAGACAGCCCAAGTGCAGGGGCAAAGTAAAAAAACAAGGAACATTTATTATATACATTGCTCGCATTTGACCTTTGCTGGATTCGGATAGTATTTCAATGGACTACACGTGTGGTATCTGTGGACTTGTTTATATCAACCCTCAAGTAATGTATAACAAACGTAAGTGAAGGTGTCTAGCTCGTTATTAGTCCCTTAAGCCCTAAAATTGAGATTTTACTTAAATAGAATTGTCCTAAAGCTAAAATACCAGAAGCTTTTCTCACGCAGACTGTCGCCCTTCACAGGTTTCACATTTTCTGCTACTAGTGCTGCATCTACCACTGGACAGACATTCAAATGCTTGCTTTTACTCCTGTTTTCCTCTGTTGTCAGAGAGTCCAGCTGTAGGGAGTTTGGAGGCGGAGGAAACTTTTGGAGACCTGCAGCAGTGTCCCTTTTAATTGGAAATGACAATTCAGACTAAACGGTGTATTTTCCAAATGCCCAAGGCTGGAATAAAAATGTCCGGAAAGAGTATAAACATTCCAAATTACGGCACTGTTGCTGTGCATATTTTGGGCAGTTCCATACAGATCATACAGGCAACTGGGGGCAATTCGGCCGTCGTTGCTGCTACCATACAAACTAATTTCCAGTAATTGCACATTTTCTAAGAAATATGCATGTATACGTGTATAAACTAAATAATTAAGTCACGAAGAAGCTACATTTATGTAAAACAACCCTGTTCTACGAGCAGTTTAAAGATAATCAGACAGGGGGCCTTTAAAACATCTGCGAACCAGCGCATCCAGAGTGGCAGCGCAAAGTCGGGGTCGCGAGTTAATTTGCCGACCACCCAAAGGCCCATGATATAAATGCCACTTCAAATGCCTTGAAAGCGGGATGTAATATCGTTCTAAATCATGAACATGCAAGGAACAGAATTCCAGCGTCTGAAACACTTGCGCCACCGCTTCACCGATCCCTCGCAAAATTGCCTTGAGTCGTGTGGACGGACGGGGAGGTTCATCGGCGGAATTGCCCCCTCCGATAGCGTTCGGGATTTGTAACCCAATTTTAAAGGTAAAAGGGACGAGCACGCTTATAAAATGTACAGAAGCACGTCAATATCGGCCTAACTCAACGTCCTGTACACCGGGTAAACGAAGCCCAGCTCCTCGAAGAGCTTGCGGCACACAACGCCAAACCAGGAAACCGGTGCTGGGAAGCGAGCCGATCCAAGATCGCGGAGCGGAGTCATCGCCCTGACGTCACGGTACACCTCGCCGAATCAGGGCGCGGCGACTGCAGCGACGCTTGTGTTCGCTCTCGGGGCTAATCGAGGTCGGGAGCTTGCTACCAATTGCCAATGATATGTTATCATTGTCGTTACTGACCAGCTTATTCCAACCAAGAGCTTTGGAAGTCTACATTACGTGGTGGTAGCACAGTGACATAAGGATTGTGAGGATTGTCGATAAAATAATTGAGCCATCCACAAATCAGTGAAGTGCCGACAAAAATAAATACAAAATACTGTGTCTTCATGGTGCCAATTTCAAACCGTTCAAAGGTCTTGGCACCTTAGAAAAAATATGGGAACATGGCCATTTTATTCCATATGCTATACATTAATAAAACTACGGAACACTAAAGATGCACCAATAAAGAATTTTTTACAAGTATGTAATAGGTGACCTTAAGTCGATTGATTAATCAGTGTAATGTGGAAGTGATAGAATTGTTCAAGTATCACAAAACAATAAATTCTATTGCTCCTCAGATCTATCATAAAATACCGAAGAGACAACTCCTCCGGAAGAAGTGTTGTACGTCCACTTTCATGCATCCCAATGGGGGTGGAATCAAAGCATTTCTTTTTTCTTGTTCCTCTATTCAAAATGAGCCAAGCATTGTTTGTTCCCCAAAATTAGACACCAGAATGCCAGCCTTGGCTAAACACTTTCACAGTGTTGGCCCCAAGCAACGTGTGAAGTGGGATTCGCTATGCCAGCCTTGGCAAGACACCTTTCGAGGCCGAGCGACTCATGCCTGGCGGCCATCTTGTTCTTGCCAGGGTGTATCACAGCTTTGGACGGGGCGTCAGCGGCGTCTGCCCCTGCGCGGCGGGCAAGGCATGCAGGCGTGAGGCAATGCTGCAGCACCGAACGTTGATCCCCTGGCGCTTGGTGCACAGGGACGAACGGCAAAATGCGAGGCCCCACGCAGACATCGAGCAAGCTTACCGTCGCCCACACTGGGACGACTGGAAGAGCACCCTGGTCACCGTGGTTTCGGCGGAGAAGGTGACAGTCCAGGCATTTTTCACCGATTCCGGTTATGCACTAGTAGATGCGCGTCGGAATCTCTCTCGTAGAAGTGAATGACAAATAAAAGTAGAATGTCGGAAAATTTATTTTTTGCTTCGCTTTCAAGATTTGTGCAGAAACTGTTTTATTGCAACATAATACTAAAACAGCCGACACTGAGCAGGGCAAACACTGGCCGGCGGCGCCCAGGGGATACCAAGGGTACTGTCCACCGGCCCGAGGGTCTGGTTTGCCCCCCACTCAAAAACAAGTTGGTATGCCGCTGGTGATTCATTATGTGATGATTTCACGGGTGTTGTTCTTTTCTGTGGCTAATCCTACCCATTCCTCGCAAAGAGGTAAAAGATGAATATAGTGCCTGATTTGTACCGTAAAATACCGCTGAAGCGCCCACTATTAACGTGTTCAAAACTTCTGAATTCTGCAAATTATATATTAAGCACTTGATTACGTAAGGGATGCCTAAAGGCACCCCTCTACGTAATTAAAAAAAATATATGTATATATATATATATATTAAGTGCTTGATTTGACCGGACAAGCACCCGTCTAGATTAATCCAGTTTTTAGTGAAAGTGTGATGGGCGCTCCCCTGGTGTTTTACGGTAAGTCAGTACCCTCTGTTTGTCTCTTTTGTGCATCTCCCTGTTCTGTCCTCGTCCTTTGCGCTGTTGCTTCCTACAATGCCGTTCGCCAGATGGACTTTAAACTGCCATGGACTCCAAGCACCACATCGAAGCTCCGCCCCTGTGCTTTTTAGTCAGTCTAGAATATGCAAACGGGATTTAGGGTTGTTGGCTGCTGCTGGTTTCTCGGCAAACGATGAGAGATTGAAGGATGATGCTCTGTGTTCGCTGTATGTGTGCCGTCCACATACTGTTCCACCAGGTGGACGGTATGTGAGCACTCCGCGCGACATGCCGCAGGGTTCGTTGTACATTTTCCAACAAAGAAATTGGCCTAATCTAAGAATGTGTCCCGCACATATTTCGGAGAACTCCAGAACACCTTTGTGCGAATGGTTGCGAAGTGTGTGAATCTTGCATGACATAATTAGTTGGCACAGTGCTGCTCAGTTGTTCGACGCGGCAGTTTTAACTTCTTAATCCACTTTCTAAAAGCACATGGCCTACAATTTTCTTGTTCATGAGCAGTCACACAGCCCACACTGAGCCAACAATGAACTTTTATTTTTAATTCGGCGTGGTCCGACTCGTTTTTCAGTCGTCGGCTTTATAAATGCGCATTGGTGTCTATTACGGATACCGTATACAGTATGGACCACTTACAACGTGCAGGACTTATAGTGCAGGACCGGGTATAACGCGGCTTTTTTAAACCACGGGTTTGCCTCCCATAGAACTCCACGTAATTACATACCGCTTAAAATGCAGGCGCGCGAAGGGAAATACCGGTTATAGTGCGGTTTTCGGAACAGCCCGGCGACCGCGCCGGCTGACCGACGCAGAGAGCACGCTTCCCTGTGCGACACTAGATAACGGCGCGAGCCGCAAGCGGCACTCGCGGGGCAAGGAGGTTGCTCGAAGAAGCGGGGAGAAGCGAAGAGAGAGGGTTCAGTTGCCATAGCGACGGAGGGACGCATGCACGTGTCGTTCACGTGCGTGCGTCCCTCCGCTGCGTTGGAAACGTTGGAAACAACCGCAACGACAGACCAATCGCAGGTCGAGGAGAAGTAGGGTGACCACCTTACTGCTAACGAAATACAGGACACAAAGCCCCCCCCCCCCCCCCACCCCTCTTTCCACCCTTTGTCAGGAAATTTATTAACACAGTTCTATCTGTTCGGGTTCCAGGATGCCTTGGTAGAGGAAATTTTTTAACGCGCACACCACAAACCAAGGCTATGTGAACGGATTTAATATCCTGTGCTGTTTATACACCTGTTAATTGTATTGCAGCAATGAGGTCACATAATTTTCACTCCCAGGGATATAACTTTTTATGCCAAATGTGTTATTAAATGTGTCGAAGTTGAAAACATAAAAATCGACTCTAGCAGAACTCAATGCATCAAATGGAAATAATATAGTAAATCTTTTTGATAGTATTGTTTTCTGTCAGCGCTTACTTTTATTGTTCATGGTCCTACACAAATTTTTAGCATCATGTTCTTTTTCGACCATCGTGAGTTGCAGACTTTTTGCCTTGTGGGACTGTCTTCACTAAAAAAAGATCCACAGCAACCCTTTCGCATTGAAACAGTGATTTGAAAAATAATTACCATATTTTATATTAATACTTTTAGCGAGCTATTATTTTTAACAATATTTTGTTGCTAGGGGGAGAGGCACAATGCAGCATGCGCGTCAGAGCTCCTGCCAGAACGTCGGTCGCTTCCCGCAATGCTTGGATAGAAAATGGCGTACCATTGCGATTTACACGATTACCAACGACCTCCGCGCTTCCCCGTGCCCGTTGTTCGGCAGCACCATGAGCTGCAGGGTGAATTTTACTACAGTATGGAATACGGGACATTTTGAAGATTTGGAAATTTTTTGCGGGACATGGGACACGAGCCCTCATTGCGGGACAGTCCCGGGAGTCGCGGGACGGGCGGTCACCCTAAGGAGAAGTGTTCGCGCGCGTTGCATGCCGGTCGCGGGCCGGCCGGCCGGCTGCTTCTATCCGCAAACATGGCGTCGGTTTTGATCGTCGACGTAGACGGCGGTGGTAGAAGCTCATCGTTCCGCGCAAAAACGCTATCCTTGACTGTGAATTTTCGTTGTGTGTCGCTATGATCACCCAGCACGTACTAGAAGGGAAGATCCACCTACTCGTGCGGCGATGTTGTGGCGGCACTCTCAAGACGGCAGAAACGCCCGTGTCGTCGTGTTTGTTTACTTCGACTGCAGTGGTGCTTTCTAAGCATTTGTTTTTTCGAACATCGCCCGGATTTCTTATTTGGAGCATTTCATGCCTGTGCTCAAGTTGAAGGTATTACTGGCACGTACCGTATAAAGGATGCGAATTTTCACGCGTTTTCATCGCCAGAGAAAAGTGATTAGGGTTAGCAATCCTGAACGCTCGCAACGTCCGTCCGCAACCCGCGACGCCGTTAAAAGGCTGCGCCAGGCAAAAGTCGCTCATTTCTTTCAAAATGTGTGACACACTGGAGAGAGACTAGTCTGGTGAAATAAAGACTTTCCTCAAACTAAGCTTTATTTTTCATCTAACATAAAATAAATTCTTTTACAAAGGTAAGTTGTCTGATGGCATGCATTTTGGCCTGAAAAATTGATGTTTTGGTTATAGCGCGGTACCGCTTATAGTGCGGATTTTCGCAGCTCCCGCGACATACGTTATATGCGGTCCACACTGTATATTGTCACGGGTGGTAACCAAAAAAACAATAGATAAACAGGAAGAAATAAAGGTTTAATGCGGCGAACTTGTGCCAAAAATAAAAGGGTACAAAAGAAAACAGCAGAGCGTCGCGGGCGTCGATGTCGGCGAAACCGCAGGATCGAGCGCCGGGGCGAGACTGACTCGACAAGGTCGCGGGCGGCGTCTTATCTAGAGTGCGCCGCTATCTCGAAGATTCGGCGAAAGCGGTTCGAGCGTCGCGTGATCGGGACGAGAATGAACACGCACTTTCTAGAAAACAAAAACAGGGATAAATGATAGAAGTTACGTGCGGTACATGAATAAACGGGAACTTTCTGGAGGACCGTGACCGAGCGTTGCTTTCTCAGCCTTGCGCGCGGCATTACTCCCCCCTTTAAAAGTGCATCGCCCCAATGCAGTGTAAAACAAATCAAAATAAAAAAGAACGATAAACTAAAGAGTCTTTTGGAGCACAAAAGGTCCACAGTCCTATCGAGCGTAGTACGGCTTCAGGCGCACGACGTGGACGACCTCAGGTCGTGGTGGGCGGCGTGACGATGTTCGTGTTCCGTCGGGCATCACCTCGTAGTTCAGCTGGCCGAGGCGACGAAGTACCTTGTATGTTCCAAAGTACCGTTTCAGCAGTTTCTCACTGAGGCCGCGGCGACGGATGGGCGTCCATACCCACACCCTATCTCCGGGCTGGAAGTGGACGTCCGTGCGACGAAGGTTGTAGCGGCCGGCGTCGACGCGTTGCTGGTCTTGAATCAGGAGTCGGGCGAGCTGGCGAACTTCTTCGGCGCGTTGAGCAACCGCCTGGGCGTCGTCGCTCTCGTTGTCAGATGGCTCATGGGGCAGCATGGCGTCCAGCATGGTCGTTACCTTCCGACCATGTACCAGCTGGAAAGGGGTGAATCCAGTGGTCTCTTGAACCGCCGTATTGTAGGCGAACGTGACGTAGGGCAGCACCTCGTCCCACGTCTTGTGCTCTACGTCGACGTACATAGAGATCATATCGGCGATTGTCTTGTTGAGTCGCTCCGTCAGCCCGTTGGTCTGCGGGTGGTACGCAGTTGTACGACGATGGCTGGTGTGACTGAGTCGGAAGATTTCTTGGGTCAGTTGTGCCATGAACGATGATCCGCGATCTGTAATCAGAACTTCTGGAGCGCCGTGCCGGAGGACGATGGACTCAATGAAAAACTTGGCAACTTCCACAGCAGTCCCCGAAGGAAGAGCTTTCGTTTCGGCGTACCGCGTGAGATAATCTGTGGCGACGATGATCCAGCGGTTCCCCGACGTCGAAGGCGGAAAAGGACCAAGTAGATCCATTCCGATCTGCTGGAAGGGTGCAGTTGGAGGAGAAATAGGCTGCAGGAGTCAGGCCGGCCTCGTCGGAGGTTTCTTGCGTCGCTGGCACTCGTGGCATGATCGTGTGTACAGGTGGACGGTCTTGGGGAGCTTGGGCCAGTAATACTTTTCACGAATACGGGCCAGTGTCCGGCTGTATCCAAGGTGTCCGGACGTCGGGTCGTCGTGACATGCTTGAAAGATCTCCCCTCGAAGGTCGGTCGGGATTACCAGCAGCCACGGCGAGTTGTTGTTCCCGAAGTTCTCTTTGTAGAGTACACCTTGTCGAATGGTGAAGGTCGGCACGGCTCGTGAGAAAACACGGGGTACGGTACCGCCGCGCCCTTCCAGGTGCTCGATTAAGGCTCGCAGCTCCGGATCGTCTCGTTGACGTCGTGCCATGTCATCGGTGTTCACTGCCCCTAGAAAGCACTCGTCATCATCGTCGTCGCTGCTGCCGGAAGGTGTTTCGACAGGGGCCCTGGACAGGCAGTCAGCGTCGCTGTGCTTGTGTCCTGACTTGTAAACCACAGTCATGTTGAACTCTTGTAGCCGGAGGCTCCACCAAGCGAGGCGTCCTGACGGGTCCTTGAGGTTCGCAAGCCAGCAGAGCGAGTGGTGGTCCGTGACTACGCGGAACGGGCTTCCGTACAAGTACGGACGAAACTTCGTGATTGCCCAGACGACCGCAAGGCATTCTTTCTCAGTCGTGGAGTAATTTCTTTCTGCCTTGGACAGTGTACGACTTGCGTAGGCGATGACTCGTTCGGTGCCTTCTTGTACTTGAACTAGTACCGCGCCAAGTCCTGCGTTACTTGCGTCAGTGTGAATCTCGGTGTCCGCATCCTGATCGAAATGTCCAAGAACCGGAGGCGTCTGGAGTCGTCGCTTCAGCTCGTCGAATGCCCGCTGTTGTTTCTCGGCCCATTCGAACCTCTCGGCGTCCTTCGTGAGGTTTGTGAGCGGTGCGGAAATCCGTGCGAAATCCCGAACGAAGCGACGATAGTAGGCGCAAAGTCCAAGGAATCTTCGCACGGCCTTTTTGTCTGTCGGCACTGGAAATGACGCGACGGCGCGAGACTTCTCAGGGTCTGGGCGTACGCCTTCGTTGCTAACCACGTGACCTAGACACTTCAGTTCGTCATAGGCGAACCGACACTTTGACGGCTTGAGGGTGAGTCCAGCGGTCCGTATGGCTTGAAGAACAGCTCGGAGTCGTCGCAAGTGCTCGTCGAAGTCGCTGGAAAACACCACGACGTCATCGAGGTAGACCAGACAGCTCTGCCACTTCAGTCCTGCCAGTACGGTGTCCATAACACGCTGGAAAGTTGCTGGCGCCGTACATAGTCCGAAGGGCATTACCTTGAACTCGTACAGCCCATCCGGCGTGACGAAAGCTGTCTTCTCTCGGTCCCGTTCGTCGACTTCGATCTGCCAGTAGCCGCTCTTCAGGTCCATCGATGAGAAGTATCGAGAGTGGCGCAGCCGGTCTAACGTGTCGTCGATTCGGGGGAGTGGGTAGACGTCTTTCTTCGTCACCGCGTTCAGCTGCCGGTAGTCCACGCAGAACCGAAGCGTTCCGTCCTTCTTCTTAACCAGTACGACTGGAGAGGCCCACGGACTGCTTGATGGTTGGATTATGTCGTCGTTCAGCATCTCTTGAGCTTGCTCCTGGATCACCTCCCTTTCTTTAACGGAGACTCTGTACGGTGATCGATGCACAGGCCGCGCGTCGTCCTCAGTAATGATGCGGTGCTTCGCAACGGCTGTTTGGCGTACCTTCGACGACGTCGCAAAGCAGTCACGGTATTCGGCGAGGAGGTTAATCAGCTGCCGTCGTTTCGGGTCCGGAAGCTTAGGGTCGATGTCGAGTTGCGCTGGCGACGTACCGTCTTGCTGAGGTGGCGAGGATTCATCAGTAATGGCGGCGATTTCGGCGGAGTTTCGGAGATCCTCGACGTGGCCAACGGCTGCACCTTTTGTGAGGTGTTGCGTTTCATTCCGGAAGTTCGTCACGAGGACCACAGTGCAGCCATCCTGAAGTTCAGCTACTCCTCGTGCGACGCCTATTCCTCTTCCCAGGAGCAACTGGAGGTTACCTTCCAGAAGAACTTCGCTACGGGTAGCTGCATCGGTCACGACAGGTACGACAACACTTGATCGCGGCGGCAGATTCACGTGGTCGGCAGCGACTCGGACGGCGGTTGACGCAGTTTGGAGTTTCTCTGAAGGCGGAACAGGTGTCCGCAGCGTCAATCTGTTTTCTCCAAGGTCGATGACGGCGCCGTATTCACACAAAAAGTCCATGCCGAGAATGACGTCTCTGGAACAGTCTTGTAGAATGACGAATTTCACAGGACACGTCTCGCCGTGAATTTCGACGCGAGCGGTGCACCTTCCGACAGGCGTGATGAGGTGTCCTCCGGCGGTTCGTATCTGCGGTCCATCCCACGGCGTCGTGACTTTTCGAAGGTGGCGAGAGAGCCTCCCACTCAATACTGAGTAGTCTGCCCCGGTGTCAACGAGTGCCGATGCGTTTTGGCCATCGATAACAACGTTTAGGTTGTTGGACACCGTTGCAGGCGCGTCGGTGCAATGCGGGCCGTCGAGAGAGTGGGAGCGCTCCGGCGTTCTTGGAGGCTGTTTGCTTCCGTCGTTTTCGGCAACGTCACCTCCAGGCGTTGCCGCACTCAGTTTTCCCGACGACGCAGGGGAGACAGGCTCTCTCGGCGGGATCGTGGCGCTGGGGAGGCTGAACGTCGTGGCGATGGGGAGCGGGCTTCACGGCGGAGAGACGACACTGGGGAGGGCGAACGTCGGAGGTACTCCTCGATGTCGTGAGGGCGTTCGCCGTACCTCGGGCGTGGGTCGTTCGGGTGGAACCCACGCAGGCCCATTTGCCGGTAGGGACAACGACGGTAGATATGGTCGGCCTCCCCGCAGTGGTAGCACAACGGGCGTCGATCGGCCGTCCTCCACACGTCGGTCTTTCGTGGAGCAGCTTGTTCTGGGCGGACGTACGCCCGATCTTCATGGCGTCGTGAATACTGCGGCGCTAGAGGTTCACGTCGAGGTGGCGCCGTATACGGGTGAGCAGGGGGCGGTGGTCGTCGGGTAGCTGCGGCGTAGCTCAGCTTCGGTGGTTCAGGAGTGGCGCTGGCGAGAACTTCTGGCTGCAGCGCCTGCTGAAGTTCTTCCCGGACAATCTCGGCGACTGAGGGCGACTGAGGCTCTCTCTCGGCGGTGGTGGTTGACGAACGTAGCCTTCAGATCGGTCTTGAAAATATCACACGACGTCAAAGAGGACTCATGCATGGTTCTCGTACCAGTGCTTGGCGGTCCCCTCAAGCGAAAAGTAGACGTTGTGCAGGCGCTGCTCGTCGGTCCAGCCATTGTGGCGGGCAACGCGTTCATACTGGTCGATCCGGTCTTCGACGTCTTCGTAGAGTTCACCGAAGAAGGGGGCAGCCGTCCGCGGTGCGACGGGCGTGTAGACGACGGGAGGAGCGGCGGGGGCTTGCGATTGGTTGGCCATCGTCGTCTTCTTCGGCTTGGGTTGTCCAACAGCAAACCGTACTCAGGATCCTCTCCCTTGATGTGGCGGCTGGTCCGAGTTTCAGGTTCCGCGGAGAGTGGTCTTCTCACCGAGTCGGGAATCGGACTTGCACTGCGGGCCCTTGGAGGGGCATGCGGTACCCCGCACCTCCACCAAAATGTCACGGGTGGTAACCAAAAAAACAATAGATAAACAGGAAGAAATAAAGGTTTAATGCGGCGAACTTGTGCCAAAAATAAAAGGGTACAAAAGAAAACAGCAGAGCGTCGCGGGCGTCGATGTCGGCGAAACCGCAGGATCGAGCGCCGGGGCGAGACTGACTCGACAAGGTCGCGGGCGGCCTCTTATCTAGAGCGCGCCGCTATCTCGAAGATTCGGCGAAAGCGGTTCGAGCGTCGCGTGATCGGGGCGAGAATGAACACGCACTTTCTAGAAAACAAAAGCAGGGATAAATGATAGAAGTTACGTGCGGTACATGAATAAACGGGAACTTTCTGGAGGACCGTGACCGAGCGTTGCTTTCTCAGCCTTGCGCGCGGCAATATGTAAAACAAACAGTAAATTAGGAGCAACTTGTCCTCTTCGGAAATACTTATGCAACTGAGCACGCCGAATGTTCTCCGGTATGAACATGACATCACATGACCGTGCCCATTGCTATGGCAGCCAAGTACCAATGTTGCCATTCCTTTCAAGCCGGCAGTTTCTTTTTTTGCCGTAAGCCCCCGAAGCAAAAACTTTGCTTTAGGGGCTTCCGGCAAAACAACTTTGCTTACGGCAAAACTTTGCTTACGACAAAACAAAAACTTATACCTTGGAATTCGAGAATGTCGACTGTTACGGTTATGGCATTTCAAAACTGCCCCAATCTCAAAATCAGAAAAAAAAAAAGCGGATTTACCCTTTAACTGTCGGACCTATGTTTCAGAATGCCAACATCCACCCGTCGCAGAACCGAGTGCTCACACCACGAGAGTGTGCCAGGTTGCAAGGCTTCCCGGATGCATTTGCATTGTTTGGGTCTACGGTAGACAGATACAAACAGGTGTGTGTGAGAGATGTGGCGTTTTACGGCGATGGCCATTGTAGGAACTCCCCAGCTGCATTTGCGGCGTCGGTGTTGGGTCAGGTAGAAAACTTCATGGCGGGTGTAACATCATTGTAGGAATCTTGGTTGTAGGGCAGCACAGAGTATAAGCCTGAAACCTCGTTCTACATAGTCTTGAAAAAAAAATTGTGCATCCTTCTATTTGACGATTGCTATGGCCACCCCCAAAAACCTATAATAGTACTGGGGTACAAGGTGTTGCACATGTCCATTAGCCCGATTCAGCATTCTCTTTGCCGTCCTATAGAGGTGTCTATCTTTCCTTGCAATACAACTGAGGATCAGGAGAGTGAATAGTATTTGTATTTTGTATTCTGTGGCACTCGTTTCATCACCACTTATGATGCGAGATGAGGAAGGAAGTGCCACTTGTTCGGGGGTGCCTTGTCTTCGCGCACACAAATGAGTGTTAAACAAAACATTTATGTGCATGCTCTACCGATCACTAGCTAGCCACATAAACCAATGCCGCCCATGGCTGCTAGTTCTATGTGTTTTTTTTTGCTGATAAGGCATCATAGTCTAGTTATGACCTCATTCTTGACTTTTAATTAGAATTCACTCTTTGAATGTTGTTTTTATATTTATGTATTTGTTATGATTTTCTGCCGTGTGCCCATTCCAGGTCGGGAATGCCGTGCCCCCGCCTCTAGCTGCTGCCATTGGCCAGAAGATCTTGGAGTCAATCACTTAATATTCTGGGCGACTTTCAGTATATCAAAGGAAGTGCAGTGTGTTGGAAGTTGAACCTTTTCTTACTGGGGGGGACCAGGTTGTCACTGGTAGTCGTCACCAAAACCTTGCAATACTGTGCGATTGTGTAGTTTTTGAGAGTAAAGAGTGAATGTAGTTTTATACAGTGTAAAAGATGTATATGAGATGGAATGTGTATTTTAAGAAATACTAATGTAATGTGAATTGGATCAAGGGCAACGCTTTGTGCATGTCCTTTGTTTATAAGTTCAAACCCTTAATTCAAGTAATTCTAGCACTCGCATGAACAACATGCCATTCTAATTTGAGGGACGTTTTTAAACAGACTAATATTGAAAAGGGGAAGTTTGTAAAAATAATTTGCAGTTCAGAAGGAGCTGTGACAACATTGTGCCCAACACTTAAGTCTCATAGAACTGGTTTGGACTAGGCACACTTTCATAGATGTTTATGCAAAGCTACCTCAATCTTACTGCATTGACAACTGTATACAGCTGAGTCTAGCTTTGCACATTCCCCTGCCCATAAGGTCCGATCAAAAATGTATAACATGCTAGGTGGAACCCTGTTGCTTCGTGAAGAACACCTGCATTACTCATTGGTACAGTCATATTATTAGACTCGCTACAACTTCTAAGAAGTTGTAGGTCAGTGTGGATGTTGAGAGGTCTGAATTACTCAGTCAAGTTCTGATGCATGTATTATTTTAATGACAAGCTGTTTACAAAGGCTTGGAGATTTTCTATCAATCCATCATGTTGTTAATATTTAACAAATCTGTTATGCTTAACTGAGCCAATGAAATTTGTGGCATTTTTGTTTTCTTTTTCACTTTCATTTTGAGATTCTGTAGATGAAGTTTTTTCTTCTTCTTTGTGTTTGTTGTAACCTAGCTTGTGGCACTTTGTAAGCCACTGCTCAAAGATAGCATAATTTTACGTAAATTTCATAGCATGCATTTTTTACAAAATTAAAATTATCAGTGAAATCTCATCCAAAATATATGTAAGAAAATGTTTGCAATTGGATTCCCCTAATAGCTCTAAATCGTTCGCACCTAGTTTAGCAGTCTATGTGAAGGTTGATTTATTGATATGTCCCAGCAGACGCAGGAGTGTTCCTTTAGCTCCCATGAAACTGTGTTTGTGGCATTGCTGTTATTCTTATTTTTATGAGAGCATGACTTTATTTGTGTGCCCGTATGCGAGAAATCTAGATATTTTTAGGTTTTATTTTTATTGTTATTGTCCGTCCTTAATGTCACCAGTTGCCCGAGTGCTACGCTTGGAACGACGTTGCCCATGCTCTGTACAATTCTTGTGAGGAGTTAAAAAAAATACTGCCCATTATAGTGATGTTCTTACACCTCTTTCTCTGTTTTATATGGAGCACTTTTTTGTCCAGGGAGTAATGTTGGTACATGTGTTCATCGACGTATTTCTCAGTCATCTATGCAAATCCTCTGCCAACGAGAAAAGCACTTAGCACGCAAATGAAATAAAAGAACTCCTGTGGGCTATCATCACCGCTGAGTGGATTTGTGGTGCTTGTGGGAGTGGAAAAGACAAAGACGGGCAGACAGGACTGTTTCCAACTAAAGACAGTCAGCTCTGTCTCTTTGTCCTTCTTGTTATTTCTTGTTGAAATCATAATGATCATTGTTTATATGAAACCTCCCTAACTTGGACACCCCTAACATACACTTGAGCTCTCCGAGATGGAGGGGTGTTTTTCATGAAGCATGCGCTACACTCCGAGATTTCCTCCTTGCCCTCTTTCGTTCTCTTCCAATGAAGGCAGACGGCAGTGGGGTAACCCTGTTCAACTGCTGCAGACAAAACCATCTCCTTCAAAGTCGGCACAGAAAAGATTCTCGCTGTCACGTTACCAATGGAAGAGAGCTAAGTCAAGAGCGTGGCAGGGAGAATTTACAGCTCGGCAATACTTTACCATAGTTTTTTACAGCTTAAAAAACGCATTGCAAGCCACTCTCACAAAACTGTCTGCTCGCAGCGTGTTTGGTGATGTCCTCCTCTGCACAACTCCCCTCCAGCATTCGCTCTGTTAAAGTCGAAACAGTGGAGGACTATGGGGAGGAGCTTGTCCTGCGTTTCCTCTGCGGAGCTCAAGTTTGCCTTCTCTTTGCACAAAGGTTGTAATGATGTCAGAATGACGAGCTCTTATTGGCTGATTGAAAAAATAGTGGGTAAACCTCAAGTTACCTAGCATTGAGGTCTAACCACTATCCTTCCAATCAAAGCCAATCAGAACTCGACGTCACTGACGTCACCGCAACCAGTAACTTGTTTTCCGCATAGGCCTGTTTCCCTCGGCCAGGGGGCGCTGTAGCATCCTCGGGACGTGACCACAAAAGAGGTACCTCTGCTAGCGTCTACGAGACGCAACCATTTACTGCTAACGGGAAGCGGCCTCCTAGTGTCCCATCGGGCGCGATCCATGGGCGTAAACATGCGTCTGTTGCGTCTACCCACAAACACTAACGTTTGAAAGGACGCAATGCGACGCACGACGGAAGCGCGACCTACAAATATCCGACTGTGCTTGCCAGGGGGATGCTTTTCAAAATTTGAGAGCTACAGGTCTCTTTGCACACCTCGTGCGCTGGTTTACCTTTTAAAATGCACCCACATGCTTTTGTTTCCCTTTACGTTAACCAACCAAAGCGTGCGCTTGGCTGCCTTGTCATCGCGGGTTTCTCTATCCATTCTCTGTAGCCTGTTGATTGACGTGCCCCTTGTCGTGTTCCAATGCACCAAAGAGACGCCAAATTCTAACCCAACGTTGTAGACGGCCCGCATTCCAGAACGCATGTGGGGGAGAGGATAATTTGCCATTGGTGCATAACTCCAAGGGAGGGGATAAGTTACCATCGGTGCACCGAGACACCGGGACTGCCGATTCTGTTTTGAATGGCGCTGTTGAAGTCCATAACTTTGTGGCTTTTCCGAGGCTTTTTTTTAATTTATTTATTTTCGTCAGAAACTTGCACCCGTACAGCATGGCTTCGTGAGTGGCCGGTCTGTGGAGACTAATTTGTGTACTTTTTAATGCGAAAGCATTAACTGGTCCTATGGAGCGAGCTGACGTCATCAGTTTGAAGCGCGAAAATGGCACCTAGTTTCCCCGATCCCAAAGGAGTGAAGTAAAGCTGATGGATTTCGCCTTCGGTTCAATTGGCTGGCGCGCGTCGACGGGGCTCCCATTGGTCGTTGCGCTCGTCAGTTTCCACGACCGCTCACCCCATGGCGCTACGTGTCCATCAGCGCGCACGGAGCGTCCAAGGTCAGCGTGCCCAGGGGAGCACGCGCGCTGACCGGCGACGAAAAGTACGCAGCAGACGAAAAAGGGAGCGGACGAGCCGCTTGCATGCTTTTGCATTCACAACTCATAAGAAGTGCTTAAATGTACCTCGCGCTTTTTTTTTTTTAATATACCACACTTTTTGTTATGAATAGAGCTCAGGCAGATACAATATATTTTGATATGTCAAAAGCGATCGACAGAGTTAGTCATGAATTGTTTTTACGTAAACTGTTTTCATATGAAGCTTATGGGGATTTTGTATTTTGCATTCTAGAACCCAGACGATAAGGTAAGAAAACTGGTTTCGCGTCCGACTTTCGCGTCCGACGGTATCACGTCCGACGATCGCGATGCTCGCATGGGGGACATTTCGCATTTGTTTGAACAGGTAGCACTCCGTTGGTCGAACGACGTTTTAGAACACCGAGTGTTTATCGATACTTTAGCTAATAGTCAGCCATCGCGAAGCGGCGTTTACGGGTGTACCAAGTGTTAACAATTTTGTGATGAGCCGTCGCATCGTCGGCGTAAGCACAGCGCAGGAGGGTGGGTGGCGAGACAGACGGGAAGGAAGAGGACAACGAGACTGAACGAACACTAAAGAGACATGGCCATGGGCGTACCAACCGGGGGGGCAAGGGGGGCACTTGCCCCCCCAGTTCTCAGAGTGGGGGGGCAAGGCATGCGTTTTGCCCCCCCTGAAACGGCCGCCACTAGGCAGAGCAGACACAGGCCGGCGGCGCCCATGGAATACCAAGGGCACTGCCCCCCGACCCGCGCGGGCATATTTTTAACGCGCAGGCGATACAAACCCTAGCAACGGTGCTCACGCACGCCGGATTGGCTGGTTCGTAAAGCCTTGCTCCACGAACAAGGCTACACGGTAACCTTACGGAATCCATCCGCGAGACATGGGCCGGACGGGCCGTCCAGACCAGGACGTAGGCCCTTACACAAAATAAAGTTTTGCTTGCTTGCTTGGAGATAGGCGCTGCCGCCGTCAACATAGGCAGCGGATGCAATGCGAGTTTCCGAAGAGGTAGCGTAACTTAGTGGTGAGATGTCTGCCTCATACGTGTCAGACCCGGGTTCTATTTATGGTGTGGGCCGGCTTACTTCTTTTTATTTTTTTCTCGAACATTTTGTTTTGTCGAGGCATTTGGCGATATTTACATTTCTTTTTTACCATTAACACTAAAAAAACGAATGTTGTTGACGAAACATCGCTAAACTAAATCGTATCGACTCTATTTACGGAAGTGCATGGGGGGCAGCGGGGCTTGGGTTGCCGACCGGACGCGGCAAAGCGGCGTGTACGGGGGGTGGGGGGCTAGGTGGGTTAATAGATTTGTAATTAGCAGCCGCACACCGTCACCGCGAAGCGGCGTGAACGCGGGCGCGGAGGTGGGTTAATGCGCTTCGAGTGATACACGAGCAGCCCATCCGGCGTGAGCGTCGTTGTTAGGGGTTCTATCGCCTGCACCGTAAAAGGAGCAGTGTGTGCACCTCCTATAGTGGGCAAGAATTCCTACATTGGAGAGAAGCGGGGACAAGCCCTTTCTTCAAATGCGTCAAGTCTCCTTGAGCTTCGGAATACAAAGAAACGCCACTATTCGGAGCTAATCCCACAGTTACTCGACCTCTCTTGCGTCGTGTCTGTTCGCTCCCCGCGCCTCGTAGCAGTGTTGTTGCAGTGGGGGGGCTCGTTAAAATTTTGGGGGTTTTTGGACTCTCTAAATCACTTTCTTCCTTCCCGTCCCCCCCTTTTCTACTCCGCATGCTTCCCCCTCTGCAAATATCAGCTGACCTTCCGACCTCTGTTCTCTGTTGATAGGCAAAACAACCACTAAAATTAGAAAGTAAATTGTAATTTGAGTGGAAGTCACTCGGAAAAGTAGTTAAAGTAAACTACTGATTACTAGAATAGAAATGTAATTAAAAGTTACTAAACTACCCAGAAAAGTAGTTAAACTACAGTAACTTGAGTAAAGTAGTTGAACTACGTACAAGTCTGGCCTGGCAAGCACTCTGCGTAAGTGTTTTCACTGATCTGCCTAGCCCCGCACACCATCACATGGGCCAAGAAAGGTGTAGTTTTACTGCAGAGGAGAAATCAGCAGGGTCCAAGATGGTGACAATGGAGGATGGGGGACTGTTCCAGTGGCTGATGGCTTGAGAAAGGAATGACCAATTGAAAGCGTTCGTAGAGCCAGAAGTGTGTTTGATGGTGCAGACGTTGTTGAGGCGAGAAGATGTTCGGTCGAGGGGTAATTAAAGTGGTTTTGAGGTCGGGAATGTGGTAGTAGATTTTGTGAATAAGGCACAGCTGAGAGACTTTCCTGCGAAGCTGCAAAGAGGACATGGTTAGTTCAGTTTTTAGCGCCGAGACACTGAAAGAAAAGTCATAAGTGGATGAAATGAAGCGAGCAGCTCTGTTCTGAACTGCCTCTACAGCGTATTGATGAGGTACAGTCGATGGGTATTCCAGATGGTTGAAGCATATTCTATTTTTGGTCTGACGTACGTGTTAAAGGTTAGCTTAGGGACAAAGGGTGGAGCGATTTTTTAAGTTACGTCTGCTTAGTCCAAGAGTTCCAGATGAATTGGCGGTAATGACTTCAATGTGGTTATTCCAGGGAAGGTCAGATGTTAGTCTTACACCAAGGTATTTATACACAGTAGCGGTCTCAATCAGATCGGAGTCCAAGAAGTAATTAAATGACAGAGTGTTTTTTTTCTTGGTGAAGTGGATTAGTTTGCGTTTATACTTGTTTGGTGACATAATCCACTCTTTGCACCAATTGTTAATTTTATCTAGATCTTCCTGAAGCTGGTTATTATTTTGCACACAAGTTACTTTGTTATGGATGACGCAGTCGTCGGCGAAAAAGCGTTTTTTTGAAGAAATCCCAATGGGAATGTCATTAATAAATATTAAAAAGAGTAAGGGCCCAAGTACGAACCCCAGGGGAACACCAGGAGATACATTTATTAAGGAAGATTCATGATCATCATGGACGTGACCTGTACACGGGAAAAAAGAAAGTCACGAATCCACGCAAACGGTTATTGGTCGAGGCAAAAAGATGATAGCTTAGAAAGAAGGCGTTGATGGAGGACACGGCCGAACGCTTTGGAAAAAAAAAAAAAAAAAAACTGCGTCAGTTTGGACGTGACATTCAAGGTTAGTGTGCAAGTCATGGATGAAGTCGC